ATTGGACCGTTGGACAAGTCGATAGCAGGTTACAAACATATTTTTGTAATAATCGACGCCTATTCTAAATTTATATTCCTTACCCCTACAAAGACGACTTCTACAAGAGAAGTTGTTTGTTCATTCCGAGCTGTATTCCAAGTGTTCGGTCCGCCGCGACAAATAATCAGTGATCGTGGTACGGCATTCACCTCTGAAGACTTTAAAGACTTTCTGAAAAACGTTGGTGTCGTACATGTGCTCAATGCGACAGCTACCCCGCGAGCGAACGGACAGTGCGAACGGTACAACCGAACTCTTTGCAATTTACTCGCGAAATTGGTGGACAGTACTGACGATTGGTGTTCCAAATTACCAAAAGTTCAAGTAATTCTGAACAATACCGTACAACGGAGCATAGGGAATACCCCTGCGCGTATTCTTTTCGGTTACGATTTACGTATACAAACCGATCAGTTTATCAGGGATTTAATACTCGAATCAGTGCAAAACGACAACGAGTTTGATCACACGGAGCTTCGGAAACAAGCTCGAAGGACAGCCGAAAACAAACAGCTCAAATCCCAGGATCAAAACAAGCACTCCTACGATTTGAGACATAGACCTGCACCAACCTATTCAGTAGGTGATTATGTTCTCATTAGAAGCACACCAGTGCCAGGACAGACCAAGAAGTTTCAACCGAAATACCAGGGCCCCTACCAAATTGTGAGAGTCCTAGACCATGACCGGTATTTGGTTGAGGATATTCCCGGAGCCCAACACACTCAACGTTTCTACCACGGGACGTTATCCAGTGATCGACTTCGAGCATATCACCCAGACGATGATGAAAGCCAGGCATCATCTTCTAGTAGCGAAGCCGAACAGGAAGACGTCCAATTGGATGGTCGGGACGACCATCATGTCAGGATAGCCGACTGTAGTAGCCCATCCTCAAGTGCCACCACTGGAATCACCTGTAGGGTACCGGTTGGTACTGATAAGAGAAGCGAGACGTGGGGAGTGGACATCGATATCTCACAATGAGAAGATCCATTCGTTTGTTTTTAAATGTTTTACGTATATTCTTAGTTTGTTATATTAATCATTTTTAATATCAGTAAACCAGTAGACACATGTCGATAGTCGTTTTAGTGTGCCTGCTACAATACCCTTATGTTTCAATGAAGTACGAGATTATAGCTGAAGGACTGGGCTATCGAACAGTGTGAACCAAATTCAAATTGTTTCAAACTGAAAAAAGTTATTCACATTATAACAGGGGCTACATTTTGGTGTGCGACGAAATTAGTGTTGAGTAGTTTAGAATAGAGAATGTAAGGACAAAGACACACGAGGCGCATTTTCGCAGAGCGTCTGCCGCGCGACGGCCGAAGGTACCGCACACTCGCAGTTTTCTTTTGAAACATGGTTATTGAAAATCAGAACGCTGAAGAAGTGAGACGTTGTCAAGTGATCATGGATTCTGATGATGAATTCTTAACAATAATTGGCAATACATTAAATTGCCGATTGAAGAAAAAAAAAAGAATAGACGTATGTGGATTCACCCAATCGTGGAAAAAAACAATCAAAGAAGATGACGAAAAGTTTTTTAATTTCGTTAGAATGTCCAGAAAGTCATTTAATGCATTACTCTCACTCATCATCGTGAAACTGACACACAAACAATATGAGATATTTGGCAACACGCAACGACTTCGAATGGTCGAGAATGCAGCCTCGTGACGAGCGGGACTAGGCGCAATGGGCGGCACATGGTCAAGATGATGTGACGAGCGCGAGGGGTAAGTACTTAGCCATTTTTTGTACACCAGGGGGTAATGAATGCCTCAATTCACCGAAATTACCCTGCAATGCCCATTTTTCAGTCAACAATACCCCGCATTGCCCAACATTGCCCTCCAATGCCCAACATTGCCCCCGCAATGCCCAACAATGCCCAACAATGCCCCTAGTGCACTATATAACTATCTCTTTTCATTCCATGTGTTGAAGAGAGACAGACTATATTGAAATGTGAAAACTGACTAATGTCTTTTACATAGTTCCAATTCATTTTAATCTCTTAGTGAATTAATCATCTGATGGACATGGAATAATGAATAATTATACATATTTTATCAAGAAATCTCACAAAACAAGCAGTCGAACATGAAACAAACATAGAAACACACGCCTTTTCACAAAAAACAACTTAGGACTATAAGACGAACATGTTTTTTTCTTCTATACTTGATAAATAAGTATTTATTCCTAAAGGTACTTCTTTAGACAGTATCACAATAATTCAGAGATCATAGTTTGGTAACAGGAACACTGGGCATATAAGTCCAGATATTATAGGTAACAGTTCTAAAATCTCGACTAAAATTAAACATTTTTTTAAGTTTATAATTATTAAAAAAACGCAAACTCTGAATTCTTTCTTGAAACTACAACAAAGTTAAGATTTTCTTGAACCAAAAACAACTTGAACCTGAATAAAATTGAAAAATTGAAAATTGAAAATTGAAATATCACACTGGATATCACATTAGTCAACTTGAGTATGTTTTTAAAATTCGGAATTTTTTTTCGACTCCAAATAAAGATTGGAAATGTTCACTTTATCCGCTCTTTTCAGGAGAAACGGAGAATTTTCCCCAAGTACAAGTGGTCCGTAAGAAATACAATCTTTTGGTATTGAATTTTCAATTTCTGATTTTTTTGGCCACTTGTTGAAATGTTTTCTAAAAACCTTATTCAAAATCTGTCTTGGTACTTTTTCATTACCAGCCCCAGATACCAGTTTTTATCAAATACCACTACATAGAAATTATTTATTTATTTATTTATTTCAGCATCGAAAACGTCTGAAACGATATCTGGTTCATTTTCTTCTTCTGAAGAATCTCCGATACATCCAGTTTTCCTTTTCTTACTTTTTGAATTATCAGCAGGTATTTTCGACTTTCTCTTTTGGACAGATCTACCAAAGTGACTTTCACATATGGACTTTTCTCATATTTATCGTAGTTTTTACTCGAATAGTCGGTTGAATCCAATTCCAATCCAATCCAAAGCTAGCTGTAGCCGGAGTTGATGACAGCATGACGCGATGCGAAACGCTTGAATGACGCAATCAAAATGTAGGCGGAGGCATCACCTTGAACCATAGAACTGAATATAGTGACCTCGAACAGAAACGGATGCGCGCGCAACAAATTAAGCCCAAACATTGCTCCACATTGCCCTTTCAGTGCTATTTCAATACCCCGCATTGCCTAACAATGCCTCACAATACCTTGCAATGCCCATCAATACCCTGAAGTGCCCGACAATGCCTCGCATTGCCCCGCAATGCCCCACACTGCCTCGCATTGCCCCGCAATACCCCTAAGTTGTACACCGGATTGCCCCATGACGCGCGTTTCGCCAGAGCTGTGACCAAAGATACCAATATTTTTGCGCCTCGTCTGTGCGGTCATGTGTATTATAAGACCACTATGTTGTGTCGGCAGCCGAGCGGCAGACGCTCGGCGAAAATGCGCCTCGTGTGTCTTTGTCCCAAATATTTTTCATGAATAACTTGTATTAGGTATATTATAGGACCTTTGGTTTGTAAGGATTTAGGCTGATGATATACACATGATTGTCCGAAACATGTTCCCCTAAATGATCTTCCGATTATTAAACGTTGTGGAGATGATTTTGTGTTTGCCTAGTATTATTTTGCTCAAGTAAAGTTGGTATTTTATCGTAATCTTTTATGATATTATTCATTCGATGATATTATACAGGGTGATCCACGGTGGATGGCCTATTAGAAGTATTTGGAGAACGAAAAGAACATTCTGAAAATTGGGATGCTCCAATAATTGAACATTTTATATCCGTCTAAAATATTTCCATCGATACAGTGTTGCCACTTCTATCAGAAACAACTAGCAACTTCGTTATTTTCAATATAGCACCCTGTATTATATTGCATTTTAGGATTCTTCCTGAAGAGCTGATTTCATCAATGTTTTACACTTGGGGTCTAGTAGGAATGATTACAGAGATATTGGGTGTTGAAAATCGAGATTTTTCAATTTTAGGATTTTTTTGTGTCGATACTATCCATTATCATACATCATACATTCAAACATGTCCCTATCTTAACTTTCGATTCACTATCTACTGACATTGGAACAGATACAGGGTGATCTAACATAAATTCAACAGTTTCTTAACATTAACTTGAAATTAACTCAACACTAACTCAACATCAACTCAACATCAACTTGAAATTGACCTAACATTGACTTAACATCAACTTAACATTAACTCAACATTGAATCAACATTAACTCAAAATTAGCTTGACATTACCTTAAAATCAAATTAACATCAAAACTCAATATCAAATTGACATTAACTTCACATTAATCACTAAATTGTCAATACATTGACATTAATTCAACTTTCAAATTAACTTGATTTCAACTATTCATCAACTAAACATTACGTCAACATCAACAACAAAAACTCATGTTAAATCGACACTAACTTTCCATTAACTTGACCATAACTTAACTTACCATAATTCAGCATAATAATCATTCATTGGTACATCATAATCTATAGACCCTGTTACTGTGCGATTTTCGAATATTTCCACCCATGTGAGTTTTACTTCCGAACTTCCTAACTGTTATATGTTGTCATATAGTGAAAAGAGTCACTTTCTCGATAACAAATCAATGTGTTTTGTGCTGTTCTCATAGGTGGTCGTAGGAAAAGATATTTACTCAATAGTAACAAATCCAGTGGCAATTTGAAAAAGTAAAAGGGAAATCGAGTTTACTTAATATTGATGGTTGCCTGAAATCATATTTCAATGCTCTTTGGAATACGGGAGAAGATTGTATTTCGAATAGATATTTTATATAGATAGTTGGATTATAGGTGTTCGAATTCTACTTGTTGCTGATCGATCATAATTTATAATTTATAATTATGATTCACTCTCACCTAGTGGACCTAATCTATTGTTGAAGGTGACAACAATAACGCCATTTTCCATTAAATGATCTGGTCCAAATAGGTCATAGTCACTTGCTCCACTGAGGTAACCCGAGCCATAAATGTAAAACATAACAGCCAGTGAACCTCCAGATGATGCACACTGGAAATATTGAAAATACCGATTAATTTTGCTCTATACGGTTGCCATGCCAAAGTAGAAATAGCCTCCACATTCCCACAACTCGACCGCTAGATGCTATGCCATAGATGCTTTGATGGAGTTTTATTGCTTCAAATGACGTTGTTGGCCGTTTCATCTCTCCTGATATATCCTAAAATCTTTTTATGCACGACCGGTCGTAAAGTAGCACATTACCGCCTGGTCTTGCGGGTGTAAAATTACACTTTACCGACCGCGCACTACTTTACCGCCTGTCGTAGAGGTAACCCGTAACATGCATCACTGTACAATTCAGGGCATTTAGTTTCAGTTCCTTAGCTAATGTTACACGTCTTTTAATATTTCTGAGATGCAAAATCATATTATCGAACGCAAAATGTGATGACATCAATTGACAGCGAAAATAATATTCTACTCCACCTCATTCAAAAAATTTACTGAGTTACTATGGTAACGTCGATACCATCGATACATAACTATTTTCTGCAATATGTTCAAAACGTCCATTTTTGTTTCAAAATTAGCTCTTGAAGTTGAGGTTTCTCTCACTGAGACAATAAAAGGATTAATATATATTTTGCTATGCAACACATTTAGTGTCCTGGAGCTAGAGTTGAAGTTCAACTCCTAGGAACTAAGTACTTAGTCGGATGACGCTGATATGATAGCTGCTTTGACACTGATATGCTCAAGTGACTCAAAATAGTGGTATTTTCACTCATATTTTATCAATTAGGTATCCATTATTTCGATTGCACTATAATCACTCCTTTTTCTCAAAGAAAACATAGCTTATATAATCCAGGGCTGCTGCTCATTCACATTTTACTTTCTGAAGAAAACGCCGATAGGTACTAACGATAAACTACTTTTTCCAGCAAGACAAAGGTGACTCAATAAACCAAAGTAGTATGTTCTTATGGTTTTTATGGAAAGATGATTTAACAAGAGATTATCAAAAATACACCATTTTTGATTACAATATCTGTCCACTTTCAAAGCTTCAATATTTGCGCTAGCATTAGCCAAAGTTGTGTCGTCTGCGGAAGAAACGAAAGTTTTGGGATACATTTTGTGCAAGTTTTGTCAGTAATTTAGGTTGATGATAAATTAGAGAGGACCTGACATATAGCTTTATGACGAATATGTAATCAGATGATAAATTATTGACGATCCAACTTTCATTCAATTACTCAAATTTTTTTGATGAAATCTAGTGGGAATCCTCCAATTCCAAAATATGTCAGTTTTTTGACAGAATACCAAAATTCTGTAATGATTTCTATTCATTATAATCTTTTATTTGAGCAGAAAAGAATGCATTTGGCGACGAGACAATACAATATATTTTCAAGTTTTCTTTCATGATGTTGAAATAACTAGCTGTCACATAGGAAACTTACAAGAAGCTTCGAACGATTTGAGAAAGTGAGGTAAGAATTCATCCTCTGTCAAGAAAAGTAGGTGTTCCATCTATAGTTCTCTGTAGGAGAGATTATGTATTTCTGTTTTTACTCACCACTGGTGTATAGACATTCAAATAAAGACAATCTTCTGTTTGAGACTCTCTCCAATCATGAACATGTAGGAAATTGATGAATTGAAAACATGTTTTGGTATTTTTTGTCACATTCAGAATACCATCCCACTTTTCTGGAGGTACCGGATCCTATAAAATAAAAATTGCATCCTTCACCATTATAGGTATACCCAATAAGTATTACAATTTTACTCTTCCAGAACTCGTCTGAGTTTCACTCTTCCAGAGCTCGTCTATGGTACTTGGTAAGTGACAAATAAACATACACATACTTGAAACTATATTGTTGTCTAGTGGAATAACTTGTTTTTAATTCTAACGATACTATAATTTATTCTCAAAAAGCAACTGATTCCGTTTCAAAGTCCATTTTGGATCTCGAATTAATTTCTATGAATCGCTGAATAATCATCAGTAGGTACACTTCTTCATCTGAATAGTCTTACCTCAAATCGTAGTTTTCCTATCGGTGGCATGGCATAAGGAATTTGTTGAAATGCGTAAAATTCGATATTTCTTGAAGAAATCGCTTTTCGTCCTCTCAATTTACCATCGGGTAACTTGACTAATGTGCATATATCTTCTATCAATTCATTATTTGCTTTCTGGAAATAATATCAATAATAGTTCATGTTTAGGTTAAAATTTTTCACAAGATTAAGTTTTGCGGAGTAGAAATACGTTCGTCACATATGGAATTCCTCCGGTTCTATGGAGTTTTTGAGGAGATTCGAAACCCCCGCGATTTTTTCTCATCAGTAAACGAATTTTCCGGATGGAATGTAATCAATGTAATACCTCGTGTAATACTGTAAATATTGTAAATTATAATGTCAACGGCGTAAGTTACCGTCAAACGTGGTGAATCGGAACTCGGGGGTTAATCGAGACGGCTTGTGCTCGACCTTCATTTGGCCGTTTGTTGATAAAATATGTATTTAATATAATAAATGTTTATTCATGATAACTTCCAGGTTTGTCCGCATTTGTTAGGTAAACTACTATATACAGTGTGTCCACTTTAAGGACTTACCACCCCTGTAAAATTGTTATTATCTGACCGATTTCGAAAAACTTTTTTCTTGTTGGGTAGGTATTTGAAATGTCCATCCAACAAGAGAGTGATTTTACTCATGAACTGTAATCGTGACCAACTGCGACCAACTTTATTGACCCATATTTGAGAAAGTACTATTCGGGACTTTTTTTCACAAAAAACAATGATGAATTATGAATCACGATCACTTGAGAAACACCTTCACTGATTTTTATCATCATAATACACAGGGTGTCCGAAAAAACGAATTATGTTTTTTTTTTATGTGATCAGAAAATGTAGTATTGTGGTATTATTGAGAAGAATTGATGGCACATTATTATTGAGGATCCATTTTGAACATATCTGTACCGATTTTCATCATTCAAAAATACGATGTGTATGAGAAAACAATTAAAAAGAAAAAGTAGGCAGTATTTTTTCATCAACTCGAAAAAAATATTAACTTGAATTTTCGAACACCCTGTGCTTAATGATGATGAAAATCGGTACAGGTATGTTCCAAGTGATCCTGATTCATCTTTTCATTTTGAGTGAAGAATAATCAGGATGAAAAATATTGCTTACCTATCCATTTACATTTTTTTCTCAGACATATTGTATATTCAAATGACGAAAATTGGTACAGATATATTTGAAATAATCCTCAATGATAATTTGTGATTATTTCTTTCTAGAAAAACCACAGAACTACATTTGCTGATCACCTTTTTGAGGAAAATGATGATCCGTTTTTTCGGACACCCTGTGTTTTATGATGATGAAAATTGGTACAGGTATATTTCAAGTGGTACTGATTCAGAATCCATCATCAAGTTTCGTGGAAAAAATCCCTAATAGTACTTTCTGGAATATGGGTCATTAAAATTGGTCGCAGTTGGCCACGATAACAGTCCAAGAATAATTGTTGGATGGGCACTTCAATAACCTATCCAACAAAAAAAGGTTTTTTGAAATTGGTCGGATATTAACGATTTTACAATGGTGGTAAGTCCTCAAGGTGGACACACTGTATATACGAATCCGATATTAACTCACCTGATTATCTTTTCCATATGTGGTATCAGTTTTGTTTCCACTGATATATCCCTGTTTCAGGATGAGAACTAATATGACTATTATGACGATTCCTAATGTGAGATTATATAGTGTGGGTTCTCTTAGGATTCTGCAAATTTTGGAACCAGACATTACAAAGACTTCCTGGAGAACTGTTGCCGCGTTGGAAATATCTGATAATGATCAGTGAGTTCCTATGAATAAGTCACGAATTATTTCCAAATGTGTGCCTAGAAATCACATAATTATCATTCTTCCAGTTCTAATGAGTTCATTATTGTTTGTAGTACGGAATATAATAAGCCGCCTTGGCATCCATATTGGGAATTCCAGCGTTATCGACAAACATTACACAATCCCAGAAATATATTTTTACCTTGAAAAATACTTCAACACCTTCCTCCTCGCCCTATCCTCCCTAACCCCTAGCATGATGTCATTAGAACATTATATAGCTGACACATTCCATGAGCGAACATCTGCTCTGAGGACGATTCCATAGAGCATACGTAAGGGAATGTATTTTGGAATAGGCGAGTGGACTAAATTTGTTTTATTTCACAAATAGAATCATCACTCAAATACCTTCCGATTTTATATTTCTTGAGAATTTTTTGGTAGATTTTTAGGTGCTAAAATCATCAATAATGCCACGGTAATTTTCAATCGGCTAGAAATTTACCGCCAGTAAAAACTGACGCCACGATTTCGTTAGTAGGGGCAGACTATAGCATAGTTGCCACGTGTTGAAATACGATTGAGAATTGCAGAAATATCAGTCATTTGTTGATTCATAAATTCACAATTGAATATTGGCAATACTCCTAATTAGCATTGAAAATTCAATTGTCTCAAGATGTTTCCTCTTGATATGTGGATGGCTTGTAATAAAGGACCACGCACTAAACTATAGAGAAAATGGCTCTCGATGAAAATCGCTTAATTTTTAGTATGTTGCAGACTTTGATATACTAAACAGATATTCCATTTAACTAACCTCAAAAAATGGACAGTTTTTCGATATTGACCTCCAAATGTAATTTTTTAGAGAAAAAAAAGTTTCAAACTTTCTCTGTTCCAATGTGGATACGACGAAAATTGTAAACTTTAAATTCAGCTATGATAACTTGCAACTGGATGGTATCAATATCGCAGAAACACACTGTACTAGGTATCTTGGATTGCATATTGATAATAAGTTGAAATTCAATGAACATATTACATCATTATGTAAGAAGTTAGCCTCTGGATCATACGAAAGCGCTGAACGGACATGATACTTTTTTTTTATAATTGCCAGTTTGAACTGGCAATTAGCTATAATTGCCAGTTTGAACTGGCATTTAGCTATAATTGCCAGTTTGAACTGGCATTTAGCTATAATTGCCAGTTTGAACTGGCATTTAGCTATAATTGCCAGTTTGAACTGGCAATTTAGCTATAATTGCCAGTTTGAACTCGCATTTAGCTATAATTGCCAGTTTGAACTGGCATTCAGCTATAATTGCCAGTTTGAACTGGCAATTAGCCATAATTGCCAGTTTGATCTGGCAATTAGCCATAATTGCCAGTTTGATCTGGCAATTAGCCATAATTGCCAGTTCGAACTGGCATTTAGCTATAATTTCCAGTTTGAACTGGCATTTAGCTATAATTGCCAGTTTGAACTGGCATTTAGCTATAATTGCCACTTTGAACTGGCATTTAGCTATAATTGCCAGTTTGAACTGGCAATTAGCCATAATTGCCAGTTTGATCTGGCAATTAGCCATAATTGTCAGTTTGATCTGGCAATTAGCCATAATTGCCAGTTCGAACTGGCATTTAGCTATAATTTCCAGTTTGAACTGGCATTTAGCTATAATTGCCAGTTTGAACTGGCATTTAGCTATAATTGCCAGTTTGAACTGGCATAGAATAATAGAATAGAATAGAATAATTTATTCATCCAAGAGACCATTATAAAATGATATAGGAAAAGTCAGTTTAAAACAAAAATGATTACATATATAGTGGTAAATATAGACATTCATGAATATTTCACATCAAAGTATGTATAACAGATGAGTACAGACATTCAAATTACTAAACAAAATTTTAAAAAGTAAATATATATATATATAAAAAACTGAGAATATATTGAATCACATTATGTATCTGAGGATTGTGTACATCGATTGAAATTGATAAAATCATCACACGAGTAGAAACCTTGACTGCTGAGAAATTCTTTCGTTTTCTGTTTCAGTTTATTCACATTTGGCAGCGACTTGATTTCGATGGGCAGACAATTGAAATACTTTGACCCTATATAGATGGGTGACTTTTCGAAAAGTTTGGTTTTGTGTTTGATCATTTTCAGTAGGTTTCCATTTCTCGTAGGATATCTGTGTTGTTCACCATTGGTTGTAATTGAACCTTCTTTTTTTTTTATATAGGTAATCAAGCTGTGGATGTATATGCACGGTAAAGTGAGTATTTTGTTATTTTTGAAGTAGGGTTTACAAGAATCTGTTCTTTTCAAATTGAATATCAACCGAATTATTCTTTTTTGAGCAACAAATACCCTATTTATATTATTACTGGCACCCCATAGTACTATATTATACTTAAGTACCGAGTGCACCATCGCGTAATATACGTTTATCAGCGATTTTTCGTCTAAGACACTTTTCAGTTGTAATATTGCGTAAAAACTGCTGTTTAGTCTTTTGCATACATAACTAATGTGATCTTCCCATGTTAATCCTGAGTCTATGTATGTTCCAAGAAATTTAGTTCCGTCTGAAGGGGTTATGATTGCATTATTCACGATAACATCTAGGGGTCTTTCAACGCTTTTCTTGCCAAAAAATTTAATGAGAACGGTTTTTCCTGAATTTACTAATAATTTATTATTTTTGCACCAAGATGTAAACCCACTGGCGACGATATTCAGTTTAGCTTGAAGTTCTAAAATGCTGTCGGCTTCTTCTGCAATAGATGTATCATCCGCAAAGAGAACCATGCATTCTGTTTTCACGTGAAAAGGTAAGTCATTAATAAATAACAGAAAAATTAGTGGACCTAAAACCGAGCCTTGTGGAACTCCGAGGTCAACACTGTGCATATCTGAATTTGCTTCTGGTAAGTTAACGAATATTTTCCTGAATTTGAGATAAGATATTATCCACGACAGTATATTGCCTCTTATGCCAACAGCATATAATTTGTCGTAGACAATGTCGAAATCGATCGAGTCAAAAGCTTTAGACAGATCGAAAAAGAGTGCCGCTACATACTTACCATGGTCTATGCAACTATACACATATTCCATAAAGTCAGTAGCTGCTCCCTCCGTCGATCTGCCTGGATGAAAACCATTTTGACAGTCGGTTATTATTTTAAATTTTGATAAAAAAGGAAATAATTTATTATATATACATTTTTCAATTATTTTACTTATCACACAAGGAATAGTTATAGGCCGGTAATTATTTATTGAGCATTGATCACTGTTTTTATAGATTGGAATTATCTTTCCTATCTTTAGCATATCTGGAAAAACTTGCTTCTCAATTGACAAATTGATAATATAGGCAATTGGTTCAGAAATAAAATCTGCTATTGATTTAACAATCTTTGTGGACAGACAGTCCATTCCTACTGAGGTTGTATTATTTAATTGATTGATGGAAATGAAAACCTCTTCAGCATTAACAGGAAAAAAATAAAATGTATTCATAGTATGATTACCAGTGGTACCCGTTCCAGCATCATTTCCAAAATGTTCTTTGATGTTTTCCGATACTGTATGTGAAAAATATTTTGCGAAACTGTTAGAGATTGATTTTGGGTCATCTATTGTTCTGTTTTCAACTATAATTTGTTTTGGGTAATGTTTGCATGGAGTTTTCCCCGTCCTTTCGTTAATGATTTTCCATATCTGTTTCTGTTTATCCTGAGTATTCCTTGAGTTATTTATTCTACTGTGATAATAAGCTCGTTTTGTGTTTTTTATATTTTTCTTATGATTTTTAATTTTCACCCTGTATTCGCTTATCAAAAACTGATCAGTTGAGTTTTTAGTGAGCCAGTAAAAGTCTTTCAATTGTCTGCTTTCGATTTTAAGCTCTTCAGAAATCCATGTTTTGTTTTCAGATTTTGGAGTTTTAGTTTGAACTGGCATTTAGCTATAATTGCCAGTTTGAACTGGCAATTTAGCTATAATTGCCAGTTTGAACTCGCATTTAGCTATAATTGCCAGTTTGAACTGGCATTCAGCTATAATTGCCAGTTTGAACTGGCAATTAGCCATAATTGCCAGTTTGATCTGGCAATTAGCCATAATTGCCAGTTCGAACTGGCATTCAGCTATAATTGCCAGTTTGAACTGGCAATCAGCCATAATTGCCAGTTTGATCTGGCAATTAGCCATAATTGCCAGTTTGATCTGGCAATTAGCCATAATTGCCAGTTCGAACTGGCATTTAGCTATAATTTCCAGTTTGAACTGGCATTTAGCTATAATTGCCAGTTTGAACTGGCATTTAGCTATAATTGCCAGTTTGAACTGGCATTTAGCTATAATTGCCAGTTTGAACTGGCAATTTAGCTATAATTGCCAGTTTGAACTCGCATTTAGCTATAATTGCCAGTTTGAACTGGCATTCAGCTATAATTGCCAGTTTGAACTGGCAATTAGCCATAATTGCCAGTTTGATCTGGCAATTAGTCATAATTGCCAGTTTGATCTGGCAATTAGCCATAATTGCCAGTTCGAACTGGCATTTAGCTATAATTTCCAGTTTGAATTGAACTGGCATTTAGCTATAATTGCCAGTTTGAACTGGCATTTAGCTATAAATGCCAGTTTGAACTGGCATTTAGCGCTTCCGTACGAAAGGATTTAGTCATGTTATCGCCATCTGGTGACGCCAAAAAACGCGAACGATTATTTCGACCAACGCAAAGGGCGAGTGGACTGATAATGACTTATTGCCAGTCAATTACTCCACTGTGTCGTCAGAGCCCTATAGTATATTGTTCAACAAGGACGGAATGATGATTTTCCCCGAGAATGAAATTTGCAGCCTGAGCCGTAGGCGAATAATGCTGCAATCATTCGAGTGGGAAATTAGCATTCCCTGCGAGTTATACACCATAGTTTTTCTACGGCTGTGACAGATAACAGCGACATTTTTTATTTCTTCGTCTTGTAGCTATCTCATTTCCTCTCAAGTAATGCGCATCTATTGGACAGAGCTGTCATTGCTTGAACTGTGACATTGCATTTGCGGGGTACTTTCGTACGAAAGCACTAAATGCCAGTTCAAACTGGCAATTATGGCTAAATGCCAGTTCAAACTGGCAATTATGGCTAATTGCCAGTTCAAACTGGCAATTATAGCTAATTGCCAGATCAAACTGGCAATTATGGCAATTATAGCTAAATGCCAGTTCAAACTGGCAATTATAGCTAAATGCCAGTTCAAACTGGCAATTATACCTAATTGTCAGATCAAACTGGCAATTATAAAAAAAAAGTAGCATGTCCGTTCAGCGCTTTCGTAGGATCATATGCTGTAAGAGTTGTCGCAAATGAACTCGACATATCCACAGCCAGATCGACTTACTTTGCCTTAGTAGAATCCCATCTACGATATGGCATTGCGTTTTGGGGATTTTGTAATCAAGAACTACTATGAGTGATATTATTATGATATCTGTATCGAGGAGTTATCACTATCAACACCCTCACTATTGATAGTGGGAAAATAATACTATATTAATGTGTTTTTGGTGAAAGTTGTATAATACAAGGAGGTCAAAATAAATAAACATCACTAAGAAATTACAGCTTCTACAAGTGATAACTCGAAATTATCAGAACGTCAATATTGGCTTCCTCGCCATCTCCTCGTATATTTTCACCCAGCCTTTATAGGTCTCATCTCTGAGATTGTTCTGAATTGTGATCGTCTCGTTGATATCCAAAAATTTAAAATCATCTGGTCGCACTTTTGGCCAGATTACGTCATTCAATAGAGGCGATTTGGTGGGTGTAGGATTTCTGAAACAATATGATCAATCAATACTCCAATGTAATGGGATACATTATCGTTTCAAAATGAATATACATGTGGGGGTTTTTTTCGCGTAGCTAAACAATAATTTTAGGAAATTTTATAATTCATTCAAAATTCGACAGAGCGGGGTCAAGAAACAGTGTTAAGGAAATCTAGTCATCATCAGGGAGTACGTGTAAGTTCTCACTTTTTGAGCACCTCCCGTATTTTGGTTACTTCCCAACTTATTGGCAGGGTGGGAACGAGGCCTTATATAACTTTCTACGAATAATACAGTGGCTCACTCTTCCTTTTCTATAATCGCTCATTTTCAGGAAATTGAGCCAACATTTCTTTGATTTCAAATAAATAAAAATTTCAACTATTATATATTTTTCATGAGCTATGGGAAATCTGAATCGCACTGGATAGGAATATACAAGGTGTCTATTCATACATAAATATGTTGGCTTCATTCTCTAAAAATCAGCAGTTACAGAAATAAAATGAGTACGCCACTGTATTATATGCACAAAGTTATATGAGACCCCGCTCTAAGAGACATGAGGTCTCGCATGAGGTGCTCAAAAAGTGAGAATTTCCAACTTCGCTTCGTATCTCAGAAACAACTGAAGGACTGTGAAAATTCTGTTTGCGGAATTATTCGATTCACAAAAAAGTGATTCGTCCTAAAATTTCACTAATGCGTGATAAATTTCCTATTAAGCAACCTCAGAGGAAAAATCAATCGATTGTCAGTGACACCTTATTAGAAGAATGTTTGAAGATGAAGAATAATTCAGCTGTATTGAAAAAAAAATAATTTTGATTATCTTTGGACATCTTGAAAACTAGTTTGTTCCATTTTCAATACATAAATGAAATGACAATATTTTCCAAAAATTGAATATCAAAACCATAAAACTGAAAAAATTCTGAAAACAAAATTTCTATGGCTTGCTGGCGTCTTCAGATGCTCTAGGTCAGTCGATAATGTAAAAATGGGCATTCGAAATATATATGTACACTCCAATTAAGAAGCGATCGTATGGAAAGTGAAAAGAAATGCCATCTAGTTGCGAATCTGCAACCGAATAATTAATCGACGAAGTATTTTACGTAATTTCATGTTTCTGCTGTGGCCGTTCAACGAAATAATCTGTTCTATTTCAACAAATATCAAAGTTGTTCCAAACATAATATATCTATTATCGGATGTATGATACATTGATTTTCATCATATACAGGACGTGGAAAGAAATTCTGAATACTGAACATATTGGTAATTTATATTTTTATATCATAATACATCATAGCATTCTATCCGATTCGAGAGATAATGTCAAATCTCAATTTCAGAGGATTTTGATTTTTCATACTCTCTTCTTGGATATTCAATAGATATAATTCAATGTTCGTCGTGACATATAGCCAGGAAAGTAGTTGTTTTCTGTTGAATGAACCAAGAAATAATTGATATTTTCATCTCATGGAGAATGCGAATTCTCATTTTATTTCTTTATATATATATCCATTTTTTTGTGTTCATAAATATATCTGAGAATATTCCTTTTCAATAATAAATCTCGTTTCGAATTGCAAACATTTTTTCCAAAGGTGTATTAATTGATCTTGAGAAAATTGATTGGAACGATATATTTTAGTCATAAATAATCTTATTTTTGAAGGAAAAATTCCTGACAATTCAGCACAAGGTTTTGCACGAAGACTAAGATTCGTTCAAATAAAAAAAGTCTGCAATCTGTACATTTTTTTATCGCTCGCAGCGCACGAAAGAGAATTGTTGTTGTTCAAAAATTATTGTAATATCCGTCATTCAGATGCTCCCTTGAGAACAACCCTCAGAAGTCTTCAAGAGACTTGTGCGAGCAAGGAATGACGGAAGCCTTACCTTTTAACGTGTGATCCCAAACAACTTCTTGGGGCATCACAAAAATCTCTGCAGTCATTTGGATTTGAACCCACGACCAGCAAGCCATCGCGATAATAATACTAACGGTATCACCACGAGGCTACTGCCTAAATGTTGCTATTCTCTTCAGACTTGCATATTATGGAGCAGCAACGTCTATCATGATGGTTGTTCACAGAAGAACGACAAAGTTTAAGAATTTAACGGGTTAAAAAGTTTAAATACAGAGATGTTCGCATGTCGAGACCCATTTGGATCTGCTAATTCAGTAGGTGTAGTAGGTGCTGAAATGACACCGTTTTGCGTGGACATTGTCAAGTATTCAACATGCCAGCTGGAAGACGTTTGAATTCGCAAGCACGAAGTCGAAGTAGCGAATTTGATACAATATTTCACAGAAGAGAAAGATAATAATGGTCCTTTAATCCCGTTTACTTCCATACAAAAGGTGAATCATGATTCTTCCTGAGCAATAATAAAAATAATCAATTCTTACTTCAAGAATATCATCATGATGTACATTATTTTAGCGTGTCGCTGATGCCCTTAATATTAGTTTGGGGACAGTTTCGAGTATTGAAATACGAATTCAAGAGTTGAAACTTGAAATATATATCAATCCTATGTTTTATTGAATGTTTCTTAGTCAAAGTTTCCTGGAGTAGTGAATACAAATTTTCTGAATATTATTATTTATTTCAACTCAATTCCTGAAGCGGCACGGCACTGCTTCATTGAAACCTTGAATTGATTTCATTCATATTTTGAAGTTGTGACGTATGAGCAAAGAAATATCATACATACTGTAGTGATATATTGAAGTTTCAGTGCACTAAATACTTTGAGAAACATATGCTTACAAATATTTCACGAAATTGGTAATCAGTGTCCTGTACCGATCACTTGTCAATATATCCATTAGTGAGCCTTTCTCTACAACATCAATTCCAGTGAAGCGCCACATAAAAACGTCGTCATCGCCATGGCCAACTTCATAGGTCCCTATAAATAAATAAGAAGATTGCTGTTCATCATCTCACAGTGAGAAGGTTGGAATATGGGACTGAAATAATCTCATTATTTCCAAAATCAAATAGATCTTAGGAAATTTTTTGGACACTTCAATCTTGATTTGATTGAAATCTACAACAGTCTCCAACCGGTTCATTCGTTTCTGTTCGAGCAGAAAGAATATCAAAACTTCAATGCTAACACATATTTTGATTGCCAATAAAGTTATAACAATAATTTTCAGACAAACTATGAGAAGCAGCAACATTGTCAACACAAATCATTGGGATTTCTGGTAGACATTCTAATTCATAACATTTATTCTCGAATCACTTATACAACATTTGGAATGGTATCATTTCAGAATGAAGTAATCAATCTTTTCTACTCTAGATGTTGAAACTCTAGTATAATTTGTGTTATAAATTCGAAATACTACCAGAAACATCAATGATCTCTAACACTCGTGTTGACAATGTGGACGCTTCTCAGAATGATTGGAAACTGAGAACCTCCATAGATAAAAGAAAGATACCTTTCAGGCATTGTACGTACCTTCAAAATCTGGTTTGATTCCATTCAATGCTGGTGAACCATAAGAGAATCGATAAAAATAGACGTCACTATAATTGGATTGTAATTCAGCATGACGAATGATAGCACGAGTGAAAGTGATATCAGAAAAATACTGAAAAAAAAAATCTCCATGAAAATGTTCCTGGAAATTATTTTTCATGAAGTAGAATTTCCAGAAATTCACCTTTCTCCATGTACCTGGAAGACTATAAATGAATAATTCGAAATTTTCCGAAGGATGATCTTTTGAATGCCTAATTCTTGTATCTTTTTACCGAATTCATATCTGCTACCGTTTCCGAACTCACCATGCTGTGCAACCTTATCTTAGTCATATTGCCATACTGTCATACTATCATACTATCATACTGTCATACTGTCATACTGTCATACTGTCATACTGTCATACTGTCATACTGTCATACTGTCATACTGTCATACTGTCATACTGTCATACTGTCATACTGTCATACTGTCATAATGTCATACTGTCATACTATCATACTGTCATCAATGCATAGAACTACTTGGTATTTTGAGTTCAAAATGTTCGGAAACATCGAGATTCACTTCCTGATTGAAAGGATAGTTGCGGCTTGATTTGGGTGAAATTTTCGCGAAACTATCATCTACCAACGTAAAAATGTACTTGGCCTCATTAATCCTCTCGGTAAACCCGCTGAAAGATGACATTACGATTCCGAGAAAAGAACAAACCACGTACCTCGTAATTCTATAGAAAAATCCCAACATCGTGTTGTCATGGAACAGCTTAACAATATCACAATAATATTATAACTACCGCGCGCCGTTAAACAATCTTAACGGACGCAGGCTGTTAATATTACCATTTCAATTGTCATTTGAATACCGTTAAATTAAAATAACAGTGAAGGATTACGAAAAGTAGAATATTTGTACCTTAACAGTTTTACCCAAATCATTAGCAAACTGTCCAGGAGGGTATAGATTGCGAATAGCTTCGCCAATTCGTTTCTTCTCAGTTTCGTCAACTATATTTATATTATCAAGAACCATACTCGCAGGATCCTCGTCTAATGTTCTTGCAGCATCTTTCCATTTTTCAACTCTCTCTGATAATACTGATGTGTCACCTATTGAATTGAAAAATGATCATCACATATACGGGACGATTTTGAGATACGAACAATAAGTATATTGTATGAAAAGAATATGATTATACAATCTGATGAATATTTCCAATATGAGAAATGTGAGAAACAAATATCAAATTTATCAGCACAACGTTTCATACTTTGGTTTCATACCAAACACTGTTTTACCTCTAAACAAACCAATTTTTCAATGCGTCGTCATCTATTTCTCTAACTATATTAGCATCTCCAGGGGAAAATTATATTCTGTTCTATAGATGATGCTTTTATACTAGGTATGTTTATTATATCTAATCGTGAAGCATACTGAATAAATCCATTATCTTTTTGCCACATTTTCAAAAAGAAATTGAATTTAAAGGGTGATCCACGTTCGAAGTATGATGTTCTCCACAATTTTAACGAAGAGATAACCCTACACAGGGTATTCCATAAGTCATGGGTCGAATGAAGTGGTTATCCAATTGTTGATGGTTCAAAAGTTATCAATTTTTATTCATTTCTATAAAAAAAAATCTTCACAATGAAACTGTCACATTGGTGATATCTTCTTTCACGAATTTTATCCACATGATGCACCTATTCCTAAAAATTATTATAATAGTATATTATGTAACAAGTGTTATAAACGGCTTCTTGGTAACGAGTATTTCAAGCACGAGCGGAGCAGAGCGGAGCGAGTGTTTAATAAACGAGTATCTAGAAGAGTTTATAAACGCGTTACATACTATGCTTTTTCTACGAACTCCGAAAATTACATTAACATACCTGCTATTCCAGCTGACCTACAAAATAATTCGAAAGGAATGAGAATTGAGAACATAATACACGCAACTGCATGCAACCAGCGAGACACGTATAAGTGATATTGGGTGTAAATGTGTCCAGTTCATTGCTTACTAACCTTTGTTTCACGGTTATTGTCATGCTCAGCGCAGAATAAAAAAATTGTTCTGAAAGATGGATGCTTCATTTTTACAGTTCTTGGAGATATGCAAGTACCAGAACATTCCATTCGATTTCACTTTCGTCTACTTTTCACATATATTTTCAATGATGAATTCTGATACAAACGAATATTGTTCGAATGATTCTGATACAAAATTCGAAAATTACAGTTGACAGTTAATACAATTGACATGCCAGACATGTCTCAAATTACTGAAGCTGTGTTTAATGAACTGCGTTGCCATGGTAATGTGTTTAAGAAATCGTGTTGCCATGGTAACGTGTTCAATATTTTGAATAAATCACAGATCGACAATCCGTAATTAATCGATCATTTAGCGTGGTACAAATCCGTACGTAGATACTCGTTTATTAAACACTTGTTACTAAAAGGACGTTTATAACACTTGTTACATAATATACTATTGTTTCACGTTTATTGTCATGCTCAGCGCAGAATGAATGAATTGTTCTCAAAGATGGATGCTTCATTTTTACACTTCTTGGAGATATACAAGTACCAAAACATTATCTTCGATTTCACTTTTGTCTACATTTCGCATATATTTTTCAATGAAGAATTCTGATACAAGCGAAAATTGTTTGAATAATTCTGATACGAAATTCGGAAATGACACTTGGCAGTTCCTACAATTGATAGGCCGGACATGTCTCAAATTATACTGAAGCTGTGTTTATTGAACTGTGTTGCCATGGTAATGTGTTTGAGAAATCGTGTTGCCATGGTAACGTGTTTAATATTTTGAATAAATCACAGATCGTCAATCCGTGATTAATCGACCATTTAGCGTGGTACATATCCTTACGCTAAATGCCATTTTAGTTGTGTGAGTAGAAAAAAATTAATAAGAATGTGTTACTTCTTATGAATCATCTGAGATAAATCTTGTTTTCCTTAAGACTCCTCATTGAATGAAATATTTAAGATGTGGTTTAAATGCTGCTGGTAGATTCAAAAACTACTCCACAAAGATGAACAATTATGAAAAGAAGTTGCACATTCAATAGAGATTTCGGAATGATATTACATATGAGTTATTCAAAACAGCTTCCTTGTTATAATTTTTTTTTCCAAATGGGTCACCTCTTTCAAAAACAAATAACTTTTGAATCATCAACAATTTGATAACCACATATACCTACCGTTAGTTTCATTGCAAATGACCTCTACTACCACCCCACTTCATTCGATCCATGTCTCATTGGACACCCTGTATATTATTACAATTTCGGAATCTCAATGGGAAGCTGAATTCAAAAATATATCTATACAGTGCGTCCGTTAAATTGAGTGTTTTCGTAGAGTATACTGAATAAATCCATTTCTGAGGAATCTTCCTGAAACATGTCGAATTCACTGTTCAATTTGCAACATGCATAAGGAAAAATAAGAATACAGGGTGATCAACCTTTGAGTTGTGATGTCAAATGGAACATATTGAATGTTTTTAGTGAATCCATGGAAGGCTGAATTCAGAACAATATCACACATAAGGTTTGTATACAGTGCGTCCATTATATTCATTGCCATCGTGGAATGGTCCTCTATGACAGACATTGCTGATGGAGCGGTTAGTATCTTTCACAGTTAGGTAAACATACTTATTATAAGCAGCATTGTATAATAGGATACTTAGTTAATCTTCTCCTGAATATGCTAACAAAGCAAGCGAAACGCATGTCTAGGCGTCAAAGATTGAACAAATTGCTCTAGGAGATCAACTCATTGAGAGCAAGTCTGTCACTAAATTTCTTGGTGTTCACATAGATAGCAATTTGAAGTTTGACCATCATATATTATATATCAGCTCTTAAGAAAAAAATATCAGCTGGCTGCTTCGCAGTCAATGTGATATCCCGTGAACTTGGATTGCAAGCTTCAATATCAGCATACTACTCACTTATTGGATCGCATCTACGGTATGGAATTTCATTCTGGGGGTGTAGCTGTCATGGTCTCTTAAATAGTGTTTTCGTTCTTCAAAAACGAGCTCTGAGATTTGTATTCAAACTCAAGCCGCGTGACTCATGCAGGCCAATGTTTCACAACTATAAGATATTGACGGTCTTTGAAATTTTCGTTTTAGAAACAGTCTGTTTGCTTCACAAAAATAGAAGAAATTTCATGAACGCAAACATAGACAAGATTACGCGTAATAAAAGGAACCTTGCTCTTCCGCTGCCTAGTTCATCTTTAACGAGACAATCCTTAATTTATAGGACTTTGTCGACAAAATGTGCTCATTTTAGACAATAAAGCTCATCTATCTATCTATCTATATAGATACGCTTTCCAATAACCATATTTCTATGTCTTTATAAGAAACTAACTGTCATATTTGGTGAATGCTTCCTCAGAAACGATACCGATGAGTAGAGGTACTCTATCCATATGTCCTTCTTGTATTGCTGAATACATATTTTCAGTAAGGAACGCTTTTTCGTGATCTGGCTCTATAGCAGGAGTGAAAGCGAAACCTTGAACATCCATCTGATCTAATAGAGATTTCTGTAAATGAAAAGTATTGTCTTCAATGGAAAAGTAATGTGATATCTGGAATCAGTGATACTTTGATTGAATATTTTCACCTAGTATAAAATTCTAACAATAGTATAATTATACCAGATATGATAGTGAAATTATATTCCATTGAACTAGAAACCGAAACATATCCGACGACATGTCATTTCAAGCTTTAACTAGAATAAATGTGATAACTGAAATTAACATAATGATAAATATATTGTTTCGAATTTGTGCAGTAGTGAAGCCAAACACTCTTCCTCTTCTTACTTTTTAAAGTTCTCACGATCAATCATTTCAACCTCGCTATATCTATACCTAGTGATTCAGATTCTGATCAGGAAAATTTGATTAGCAAAAGTACACGCAAAAATTTAGAGAAAGTTCATATAAGCTTGATGTTTCGTAGCTTTGTTTTCGAGAGACAGGGTTTTGAAGTTATAGGTATATATAATTTGCCTTTTTCCTTTATTAACCTGTATAATCTTTCATAACCCCAAAATTCAGTATTGTCGATGATGAATTTATTGGACCCTCTGTGGGGTGCCACTAGAATACTAACGGTGAATCAAGCTACGCCAAATGGAATATTTTTATATCATACACAAAAACTTGAAAAGTTAAGGAAAAGCAGATGACAAGTGTTTGAGTAGTGAATACAAAACAATTTTTTCAAAAAATGTCAACACCTTGTTTCTCGAAAACGTAACATCGCGTAACATCCTGTAGATGATATATATTATGATTGTGGGCGCCTTTTGCCTATTTCATCAATTTTTCAAATATTATCGAAGCAGATGTCGGACTCCGCGGTTGTGTGTTGTTTTAGGTTAGTTTTCCTACGACCACCTATAAAAACAGCACAAAACACATTGATTTGTTATTGAGATAGTGACTCGTTTCACTATGGCAGTTAGAAAGTTCGAAAGCAAAACTCACATGGGTGGAAATATTCGAAAATCGCACAGTAACAGGGTCTATAGATTATGATGTACCAATGAATGATTATCATGCTGAATTATGGTAAGTTAAGTTATGGTCAAGTTAATGGAAAGTTAGTGTCGATTCGACATGAGTTATCGTCGTTAATGTTGACGTAATGTTGAGTTCATGAAGAGTTGAAATCAAGTTAATTTCAATTGAAAATTGAATTAATGTCAATGTATTGGCAATTTAGTGATTAATGTGAAGTTAATGTCAATTTGATATTGAGTTGATGTTAATTTGATTCTAAGGTAATGTTAAATTAATATGGAGTTAATGTTGATTCAATGTTGAGTTAATGTTGAATAATTATTGAGATAGTGTTAAGTTAATGTTAAGTCAATGTTGGGTTAATTTTAAGTTCATTTTGAGTTGATGTTGAGTTAATGTTAAGTTGATTTCAAGTTAATGTTGAGAAACTGTTAAATTTATGTTAAGTTGATGTTAAGTGGATGTTAAGTTGATGTTAAGTTAATGTTGAGTTAATGTTAAGTTCATATTGAGTTAATGTTGAGTTAATGTTAAACTAATGATGTCATTTGAATATTGAAGTGAAATTAAATAATAATGATGATGATATTACCTTCATGTGATCGAATATGATTAGAAACATGATCCCTACTCTGGCCTTATAAGCACTCATGACAGCTCTGCGGCTCGTGCTAAACGTCCACTCGCTCGAAATATGTCACTTTCCACACTAGTTATGTAATATATACTATTTCCTGTAGTTTGGGTGTCATGGATTAGGTCAATATTAATTGGAATATGCTATTTTCATCGTAGTTCTTAAAGTTTTGATCAAAATCATCTTAATGGTTTGAAAAAAAACTAACCTGTTCATTGCGGAGCAAATTATTATACGTACCGGAAAATTGTGTACAATTGAATTTATTTCTTCAGCTGGAACTGTACGTAGAAATTTCAGTAATTCTTCGGAACTGGCATTTTTTTTGAAACTACTATCCAATAATACGGCAAGATGATGAGCATTCCTTTTGTAGTTCAGTTGATACGACCAAGAAGATAAAGATGTGCCACTTTGACATACAGCAGAGTTATATAGCCCTGGAATAGTGGGACCAACATCAATGTTTCTTATTGAGAGGACAATTGTACGATAATATTATAGTTCCTTCTTTTTCTGAAAACTATAGAATCAAATGTCAAGTCCCAGAATCAAATATGAGTGCGCATACTTAGGGCACGGGGCCTTTCATCTTTAATGAAAACCCGTTCATTCTCAACCCCTCTTGTCACCAATATAACCACGATATCATGATGGAACACATCGGCATATCCAATTCAAAATATTGTTTCACCGTCATCAACTTGTAAAAACGGCTGAAGATGAACTTTTATAAGTCCGAAACATGTTTCCTTGATTGATTTATTACATCAGTAATAGAGAAGTGGAGATGAGCTTGAGCTTTCTTTCTTCCTTTTTTATATAATTATTGTTTCAACTTACCTCTAGATAACTTGCTCATCAAATGCAATCCGACTGATGCTGCTCCTGAACTATGCCCTACAATACTGACGCTGTTTGGGTCCCCACCAAAATATTGTATATTTCGATTGACCCATTTCAGTGCTAGAACCTGATCTTTCATGCCATAGTTTCCAGGAATGACCTTGTCACCAGTTGAAAGGAATCCTATATGGAATAGATATTTTCGTTACCACTTAGTAACAAATCCAGTGGCAATTTGGGAAAATGAAGGGGAAATCAGACAAAATCTAACATCAAAGAATATTCGAGTTGACTTGATATTGGTTGCCTGAACCCACATTTCAATGCTCTTTGGAATATGTGAGAAGATTGTATTTATAGAATAGATTGTAGATTGTAGATTGTAGATGGGTCGTATAGGCTGAGAGACCTCTCGATCACTGCGACCTAGAAGATCAATTGTGATTACCCCTATCTAGTTTTGGTCCTCTAACCCTAGACTTCTGATGAAGCCTACGATTTTCTTGACGGTTGACTTTTCCACTTCAGCAGGGGTGAGATAGACCTGTTCTAGGTGGTTCAGCCTTTGGCGGACTAATACTTCACATGAGCAAAGTATGTGTTCCGCGGTTTCGGTCGCATTGCGGCAAGTGTCAGTCTCCGCCAGACCCATCTTTTTGAGGTGGTACCTCAGAGGGCCGTGTCCTGTGAGGAAGCCTGTGATAAGCTTTAGCTCTGGTTAGCTGAGGCTAAGTAGCTCTTTGGCTCGGTTCTGCGAATGGTTGATGAACCTTTTCGCTTGTCGTTGACCTGGAGTTGCTCTCCAGTAGGAGGACTTTTCAATTTCTTCCCATTTTCCGAGTTCTCCCTTTAGGTGACATTTAAAGAATAGATATTTTTTATACATATTTGGAATGGTTGGATGAATGTTCGAATTCTACTTGTTGCTGATTGATCATAATTCATAATTTATAATTGTAATTCACTCTCACCTAGTGGACCTAATCGATGGTTGAAAGTGACAACAATAACACCATTTTCCATTAAATGATCTGGTCCAAATAGGTCATAGTCACTTGCTCCACTGATGTAACCCGAACCATAAATGTAAAACATAACAGGCAATGAACCTCCAGATGATGCACACTGGAAATATTGAAAATATCGGTTAATATTGCTTTATATGGTTGCCATGCCAAAGTAGAAATAGCCTCCACATTCCAGGTAACTCGTAATATGCATTACTGTACAATCCAAGGCATTCAGTTTCAGCTCCTCAGCTGATATTACACTTCTCTTGATATATATCTGAGATGCAAAATGATTTGATATGATATGGATGATCGAACGCAATATGTGACATCAATTAACAGCAAGAATAATAGTCTACTCCTTATTCAGAAAATTTACTGAGTTACAATGGTAACGTCGATTCCATCAAGACCTAAATAACAATTTTCTGCAATCGGCTCAGAAGTCGTCTATTTTTGTTTCAAAATTAGCTCTTGAACGTTTTTAGCGTTCGACGTTTCTCTTACTGACACAATAAAAGGATTGCTATGCAAAACATTTAGTGTCTAGGAGCTAGGGTTGAAGTTTAACTCCTAGGAACTAAATACGTGTGGGATGACAGCTGATATGATAGCTGCTTTGACACTGATATGCTCGAGTGACTCAAAATAGTGGTATTTTCATTTATATTTATTAATTAGGTATCCATTAATTCGATTGCACTATAATTACTTCTTTTTCTCAAAGAACACATAGCTCATATGTTCCAGTGCTGCTCTGCTACATATTATACATACATATTTTACTTTCTGAAGAAAATGCCGACTAACGATGAACTACTTTTTCCAGTACGACAAGGGTTGCTCAATAAACCAAAGTGATATGTTCTTATTGTTTTCATGGACAGATGATTCCAAAAAATATTATCGAAAAAATACCATTTTCGATTAGAAGATCTGTCCACTTTCAAAGCTTCAATATTTGCACTAGCATCAGCCAAAGTTGTGTCGTTTGCGGAAACAACAAAAGTTTTGAAATAAATGTGTTAGTTTTGTTAGTAATTCAGGTTGGTGATAAACCAGAGAGGACCTAACATATGACGAATAAGTAAGCAGATGATGAATTATTGATGATCTTACTTTTATCGATCACTCTGATGAAATCTAGTGATAATAATCCTCTATTTCCAAAATATTTTGGTTTTTTGACAGAATACCGAAGTGCTCTTAAGATTTATATCTATTATAACCTTCTATCCTGAGGAGACAACAATACCTGATTGATGCACATTATGCATTTGGCGGCGAGGACAAGATTTCTTTCATGATCCTAAAATTACTCGTTCTCGCATAGGAAACTTAAAAGAATCTTTCAACGATTTGAAAAGATGAGGTAATAATTCATCCTCTATCAAGGAAAGTAGGTGTTTTATCTATATATAGTTCTCTGGAGGAGAGATTATGTGTTTCTGTTTTTACTTACCACTGGTGTATAGACATTCAAATAAAGACAATCTTCTGTTTGAGACTCTCTCCAATCATGAACATGTAGGAAATTGATGAATTGAAAACATGTTTTGGTATTTTTTGTCACATTCAGAATACCATCCCACTTTTCTGGAGGTACCGGATCCTATAAAATAAAAATTGCATTCTTCACCATTATAGGTATACCCAAGTACCACAATTTTACTCTTCCAGAACTCGTCTGAGTTTCACTCTTCCAGAGCTCGTCTATGGTACTTGGTCAGTGACAAATAAACATGAACATACTTGAAACTATATTGTTGTCCAGTGAAATAACTTGTTTTTAATTCTAACGATACTATAACTTATTCTCAAAATGCAACTGATTCCGTTTCAAAGACGATTTTGGATCATGAATTATTCTCTATGGATGGATGAATGATTATCAGTAGGTACACTTCTACATCTAAATAGTCTCACCTCAAACCGTAGTTTTCCTATCGGTGGCATGGCATAAGGAATTTCTTGAAATGCGTAAAATTCAATATTTCTTGAAGAAATCGCTTTCCGTCCCCTCAATTTACCATCGGGTAACTTGACTAAAGTGCATTTATCTTCTATCAACCTATTATATGCTTTCTGGAAATAATATCAATAGTAGTTCATGTTTAGGTCAAAATTTTTCACCAGATTAAGTTCTGCGGAGAAGAAATACGTTCGTTACATATGGAATTCCTCCGGTTCTATGAAGTTTTTGAGGAAATTCGAAACCCCCGCGATTTTTTCACGTAAGTAATAATGTAATAATGTGATTATTGTAAATTATAATGTCAACGGCGTAAGTAACGGGGTTGATCAAGACGGCGGGAGCTCGACCTTCATTTGGTCGGTTATTTCGAAGCAAGCAATAATTTTAGGTCGTATAGTCTCGGTATTAGCAATATAAATAATAAGTTCGGCGGCGTAAGTTACCTTCAAACGTGCTGAATCGGAACTCGGGGGTTAATCGAGACGACTTATGCTCGAAGTTCATTTGCTCCTTTATTTCGAAGCAAGCAATATTTTTAGGTCTAATAGCCTCGGTATTAGCAAGTGATAGGGTTGACCTATTAGTATACAAGATTTCAGCTGGCAGTCAGTGTGGCCGAGTTCCACGAGGCACAAAGAGAGATTCAGCTAGTTTCGAGGGATTTCTTCACCTGCATGTGCTGGTATAAGACCCTGAAATGAATTCAGCATCATCGAGCGATGAAAAATGAAAACTGATGGGAGGTGTATTGGGTACGCCATCTAGTTAAGATACAAATACGTTATTGAAGAAACCTTATCTGAATCGATCATGTTCTTTCAATATAAACAATTTTTTCGTCTTCATGAAGATATAGCCACTTTCACATTGACTTTGTTAGTACTATGACTGATGATGACCATTTGAATGGTCGCTACATGTCTCAATCAGAAGTAATGGAGCAGAATTGACTGCACACTTCACCAGCAAACTTGTAGAGACGACTTTTGAGTTTTTTCTGTCTTTAATCATCCCCCTCCACTTCGAGTATGGACTACTGAGATGTTAGAAACCCGGGACAAATTGTAACAATATCATGAAATAATTCAGCTGAAATGAAATCTGATTTTCAAGTTGTTTGACGATTTGAAGCTGAATAGATCGTGCGAATTTCGGCCAAACTTATATCTATTGAAAATTCCACACCTAACGGTTTTCAACTATCTGAGAGCATATACAGTGTGTCCACCTCAAGGACTCACCACCCCTGTAAAATCGTTATTATCCGACCAATTTCAAAAAACCTCTTTTTGTTGGATAGGTATTTGAAATGCCCATCCAACGAGAGAGTGATCCAATTCTTGGACTGTTATCGTGGCCAACTGCGACAAATTTCAATGACCCATATTCCAGAAAGTACTATTAGTGATTTTTTCCACGAAACTTGATGATGGATTCTGAATCAGTAACTACCACTCAAAATATACCTGTACCGATTTTCATCATCATAAACCACAGGGTGTCCGAAAAAACGAATCATCATTTTCTTCAAATATATAGGTGATCAGCAAATATAGTTCTGTGGTTTTTATAGAAAGAAATAATCACAATTTATCATTGAGGATTATTTCAAATATACCTGTACCAATTTTCGTCATTTGAATATACAATGTGTCTGAGAAAAAAATTAAAAAGGATAGGTGAGCAATATTTTTCATTCTGATAATTCTTCACTCAAAATAAAAAGATGATTCAGGATCACTTGGAACATACCTGTATCGATTTTCATCATTATCAAAGACAGGGTGTTCGAAAAATCAAATTAATATTTTTTTTTTTGAGTTGATGACAAAATATTGCCTACTATTTCTTTTTAATAATTGTTTTGTTATAACACATCGTATTTTTGAATGATGAAAATCGGTGCAGATATGTTCAAAGTGATCCTCAGTTATAATGTGTCTTCAATTCTTCTCAAAATTACCACAATACTACATTTTCTGATCACCTATTGAAAAAAAACATAATTCGTTTTTTCGGACACCCTGTGTTTTACGATGATAAAAATCTGTAAAGGTGTTTTTCAAGTGATCGTGATTCAGAATCCATCATTGTTTTTTGTGAAAAAAAATCCCTGATAGTACTTTCTCAAATATGGGTCAATAAAGTTGGTCGCAGTTGGCCACGATTACAGTTCATGAGTAAAATCACTCTCTTGTTGGATGGACATTTCAAATACCTATCCAACAAAAAAAAGTTTTCTGAAATCGGTCAGATAATAACAATTTTACAGGGGTGGTAAGTCCTTAAGGTGGACACACTGTATATGTTGTATCGTTACCATAGCACTTGAAGACATTTCCGGATAATGTTCTCCTTCTTGGGGTTATAGGAGCATGAAATAACAATCTGACGTTCATAGGTGGAATGACATTTACATTCAACTTCAGCTTATGCCACATCTATTTTATAAGTCAATAATTTATTTGTTAGAAAATATATCCCTACCTACTTCAGCTGAATTTAGAGATTGAGCTACTATCGACTAATTTTTCCTTATTTTATTTCGTTCAATCACATTTTATTTAAGCTAATAATATTCCGCGAACAAACTTCATTGATATACCGAATAATTATTACTTTGAGTTTCTTGTATAAGAAACTAAATTTCAACCAACATTTTACTGGCAGAATGACTGTAAAAACTGAAAAATAGAACCACTATCAACCTAATTTTATTCATTTTCGTCTTCGCGACTCGAGAGAATTTTTAAAATATTGGTGTTCTCGAAACATGTTCTAGTAAAAATTAAAGCTCTGGTGGTTTCATGTCTGAATCCGATAGCAACTCTATCTACAACTCACCTGATCATCTTTGCAATATGTTGTTCCAGTGTTGTTTTCCTTGCCATATCCTTGTAGCATGATGAGAAATAAAATGATTAATATGACGATTCCCAATGCGAGGAAGTAAAGTGTGGGTTTTCTTAGGATTCTGCAAATCGATTCAAGCAGCATAATGACATTCAAGAGTTGCTGCGTTGAAACTATTCGTTTTTCTCTGATGATAATGAGTGTGTTCCTTCAGATGAGTGTTATGTTACTACTCCACTAAAAGAACAGATTAGTTACATTAACTAATCACATTAATTGTTACCAAATTCACATATTGCTATATGGCATATAAAACGTGTGTTAGTAATTGAAATATGGTTTGTTCACAATACCACAAATAAGACTCATTCATGTTTAAATTCTAATTATTGCATGATAATATTCATTTGTTAATAATGAATATTTATTTTGTTTTGAGGATTCAATGTATGATAACTATATATGAGAAATAATATACTTCCTCACATTGTGCGATGTTTATAATCGAAAATTCAGATATTATATATGGTGGATATATACAGTGTGACCCATTTAAGATGGAAGCACCCTTATAAAACTTACATTTTTCAACCGATTGGAATGATTTTTTTTTGTTTGGTAGATATTCAAAAAGTCTATTAGGACACCAAATATCATGAATAAATCTCCATTTCCAGGGCCAACTAATCTGATTTTTCAAGGTCAAAAATCTAAAAAAATTACCAGCGATTTTTTTAGAAAAAATCTGACTACACCACTGGATTTGTGACATTTTCAAATGGGTAACATGTGAATTACGTTGAAATGCGTCAATCAATAAAAAAGTTATAAAGGAATGAAATTTGAAAAATATGCCGTTTAATCAACCCATCAATTTTTATTACTGAACAGATTTCGATGAAACTGTGATCAGTCATATTTCAAGACATCCTGAATCCAGTGGAGTATACAGAATTTTCATAAAATTCCTGAACATGAATTGGTGGGTTGATTAAATAAATTCTGGGCATATATCAACAGCAAAAAAGGATCCACCACCATTTCGGATAAAATGTCTTATGAAGGGCAACTATTAGAGAATCCTCTTGATATTTTGAATGGCTTTGCAGATTTTTTTTCTCAAGCGTATACCATGAGTTCACAGAGTGATTTTACCGATTGCAATCCGTATTTACAGGTTTTGAACATTGAATGTTTTGACGAGAATGAAGTGTTGGCAGCTCTGAAGCAAATTAAACCGAAAATGACCACGGGTCCTGATAACCTCCCTGCAATGATTGTGAGAAATTGTGCATATGTTTTGGCTCGTCCATTATCTATATTGATCAATATTTGCTTGAAAACCTGCACAATGCCTGACTTATGGAAATTATCAAAAGTTTGTCCGATATACAAAAAAGGCGATAAATTCGACATCGGTAACATCAGACCCATATCCATTATTTGCAATTTTGCCAAAGTTTTTGAAATACTCCTCTATGATAGGTTATATCAGCATTTGAGCAGTCAAATCACACCACTTCAACATGGTTTCATGAAAGGGCGTTCCACAATCACCAACCTTTTCAATATTACTCAATATATTTCTGAAAGCATTGACAGACGATTGCAAGTTGATGTTGTATATACAGATTTCTCAAAGGCATTCGACAGGCTCGATCATGGACTATTATTATCGAAACTATACCGTTACGGATTTTCCTTGGCACTTATCCAACTTTTTGCTTCATATTTTACTAATAGACGTCAATATGTTATGTTCAATGGTTTCAGCACACACCACGAACAAATATTCTGAAATATTCTCCTCTCCATAACATGTGTTCTATATACAATAATTCATCAAATAATCAGCCAGATATCTTTCATTGTTCTATCTCTACGATTAAATCTTTTTATTTCAGCTAAGGTCTTGCCTATATTTATATACTTTTCAAAATATGAAAAACTGTATTATTAGTTATACTTATTTCCCTGTTCTGTAGTTGGGTTTGACCTGTAGAACAGTGTAACATTAAATAAAAATAAAAAATAAAATAAAATAAAATAAATAAAAAAATAAACGGCATATTTTTCAAATTTCATTCCTTTATAACTTTTTTATTGTTTGACGCATTTCAACGTAATTTACATGTTACCCATTTGAAAATGTCACAAATCCAGTGGTGTAGTCAGATTTTTTTAAAAAAAATCACTAGTAATTTTTTTAGAGTTTTGACCTTGAAAAATCAGATTAGTTGGCCCTGGAAATGGAGATTTATTCATGATATTTGGTGTCCTAATAGACTTTTTGAATATCTACCTAACAAAAAAAAAATCATTCCAATCGGTTGAAAAATGTAAGTTTTATAAGGGTGCTTCCATCTTAAATGATCATAAACAAATATTTTTTCCGGTGGAAAGAAATGAGGATATCTATTGTTATATATATACTAAAAGCTCAAAGTCATTTCCACACAATGTTCATAAAATGAACAAAAATGGTAGATTTTGGGACTAAAACGACTACTGTTTTGGCTAATGCCACGCAGAACATCGAATTACATCCTCTTGAAATTTATGCATCGACTCGTATAAACGAATACTGATACAAGTGATTCTTTCCTGAATGCCTATTGATTTCGATTTAGCCAGGCCACGCTAGACACCTACACACCGGTTTCGAGCTGTTTGACTCTCATCAGTACAGGGCAGTTTTCAACCAGCAGTCCTATAAGACCGCTGACTAAGCGTAGCCTAGCCAAACAAATTAAGTCGACATTATATTCCTCTAGAGGCGTCTTTCATTGACAATATGAAAACAAACGCCATCTGAGTAGGATAGAAGGAAATAAATACTCCAAAACTGAAATTCCCATATGGCAGTGGCTGGTTGCCCGACTGGCGTTATTTCAACTACAAAATAACCACTATGTTCAAAGAAGAATTAAATCTCTCTGTGTTCAAGCTTTTAACCTGTTGGGTTTGAAAGCGATGTCGTAAGTTATGTCAACAACCGTCATGATAGGTATTGCTGCACTATATGCAAGTCTGAAGAGGATAGTTGCGCATAGGTCAATGCTAGTTCCATTCACACCCAAAGAAATATAAAACAGACTGTATTCAGACAATCATCGTTACACTTGTTGTATCACATAAGAGAACATAAATAGAGAACGTGTCGATTCCCGCGCCTGCTTTGATGTCTATTTAGAATCATCCTGTATATAATTGCAAGCACATGTTCTTCAAAATAATGACCGCTGTTACGATCTATTAATAAACGGTAACCCAACAATCCGAACATGAAAACTCCTTTATTTCATTGTGGTACAAGTCACCGCAATGTTTACAACATCCAAAGTACACCGAATCATCATCATAGCGATTTTAGTGGATTTCGCGAGAGGGTCGACTCAAAGGTACGAAAATCCGAAACCTTCGACACGGCGTTTTGATCCAGACGATTTCCTGGATACGGCTCAAATCATCAGAAGGCATGGGTATCCAGCAGAAACACACATTGTTGCCACCGAAGACGGGTATCTAATCGGTTTGCACAGAATTCCTGGATCGCAAGATGGGAAAAAAGGGTGCCAACCTGTGTTTTTGCAACATGGATTGTTGGGGAGCAGCGCTGATTGGATTATGAACGGAAATAATTCACTGGGTGAGTGAAACCGATAATATGATTGCAGAATGCCATGAACTGTGTCATTCGGAAAGTCGGCATCATATGAGAAAAACTTTTAATACTGATTTATTGCGAAATTCAACAAGGTCCTTAAATTTTGCTTCGAATAATATAAAAAATGGACTTCTCGGTCGAGGTCACGTGGCTCTAACTACATGTCAAAAGTAACAGTTTTGCAAATTAATCACTGAAAATAGGCCCATTTGTTCAAGTTTCTGAAAAGTTTGCTGTTATAAGTTGTCTCTATTCCAATTTTACATATGTGTCCCGAGTTTGAACGTTCTATTACAACTTTAAATTTTTGATATTTTTAAATTTCTACGAAGTGTCTGCAATAAAAAAAATAACACCGACTAAAATATGTCATACTAGTAGCTTTATCATGCTACTGACTTTCAATCACTATATAATTGTCGACAAAAATATGATTATCTTCAGAAAATAATAGTCCCTGATTCAAATTTCTGTTATGTTTGATGCAAAATTGATCATTCAAAAACGATATTTATTTCAATTGATTTTTTCAGTACAAAATGATGCCCAAGTCATCTATCAAAATATCATCAAACTATATTACGAATCTAATCAAAATTTAGGACAGTTTTGTCGAAGTTACGATTAGAAGAAAACAAAATATATCAAGAACTCAAACTTGCAACAGAACGTTTACCATTCGAGGCTTAAGACACATGTATAAAATTTCTTTTAATTGACTCCATAGCAAAAGTAAAAACTCCACAAACGATAAGATTTTCACGAAATTCTCAGGCACATGACATGTTCCGCTAGCACAGAAGCTTCGTCAGGTGGAAATTTCATATCGTTTGTGAAGTTTTTCCATTTAAAATTGCTCTTGCTTTACCGTATCTGATGTCACAATGACTCCATTTGTGTTATTATTTCGAAAGAAACTCATCGCCCATGAAATGTCAAATTCAAAGCAATGACAGCTTTGTCAAATAGATGAGCATTTCTTGAGAGAAAATCAGATGGCTACAAGACAAAGAAATAAAAATTTAAATCTGTTACAGCGGTAGAAAAATTATAGTGTATATGCTATTTCTTGGTAAGATTACTAAACATTCGAACAAATAGGCCGATTTTCAGCTATAAATTTGAAAAATATATCTTGACATGTAGCTAAAGTCAGTTGGCCACGAAATTACATATAATTAAAAAGAGATGCCGTGAGCCGAAACCAGTTACACGCATCGCTTTTGATTTGAATATAATTTTGTGGTCGACCAACTTTGGGTTTTGTCTTTTTCTTTTCATTATTATAAATTATGCAAAGATCTTCAGGTTGAGTCAGAATAAGACGGGCAAGCTTCGTATACGGATTTCTAACCTTATCCTGAGTTGAATAGAACGCGCTATATCCTAGTCAAAATTGCGAAAAAAATTAAGATTTATATTGATTTCTTAGGAACCCCTGAATGAAGAATAGATGAAACTCGATATGTTATTCCAGAATAATCAAGGTGATTACTTGGAGCTATTCATACAGTCTTCATTATTGAATTTTGTTATCCAGTGGCGTAGTTACAGTCTTATGTCGTCACATAATATGTTCCTTCATCATTTTGTCTTAGATAAATGAAATGTCAAATTGTTGTAAGTCTCATTGAGATAATTGTGGTAAACTAAAGATATATTTTATGTAAGGTGTCGCACGCAGCAGTCTCTACCAAGGTTAGTAGAATTGATGATTATTTGTAAAAAAAACGCGGTGTGTACACCATCCAAAGTTCCAGTCAGGCATTGCACCGTCTCACCATATTTCGGAGAACCCCAAAAATACAATGGGTGATTTTTTTCTACAGGTAAAGCCGATTTACTCGATGAGTACGCCCCTGAGAATTTGGATCAAATCTGATTGGTCTAGTAAAAGTCTGATAATTATGTGAATAAACCAAGAAAATCCATTCAATCGGCTTAGGTGTTTTCAAGATATTGATTGAAATCTCTTTTTATTTTGAACTTGGACACCTTCGGAAACGAAGCATTTGAGGACCTATGTTCATATGACCTTTTTTCATATTTTTTTTAGAGGAACCTCTTGCAGGCTTTTGTCACCACAGCTCTGGAACACCCTGTATAATCGCCTTCATCAATAATTATTTCAAATAATGTTGATAGGTCGACTGAAAATTATTACTATGAAATAGATCGATTTGATAAATAGGGATACCGTACTACGTGTGAAAGTTTGTTCACTATGTTTTCTATGCTATGTTAAATAAATAGCTAAGTACCTTTACTATACCTATTTCTATGAAATAGTTTTCATAATTTACAACCACTCATTCACCTTCAGGTTGAATAATAATAGTGCCTGAAGATGAGAAAAAAAATTGTTTGCGCTACAAAGAAATACAACAACAATAAGATACTTACCGAATTTCCATTTCTATAGCAGTTGCTTCGAACACTATTCACACATCCAAATAAGTATGCTTCGATAAATTCGAAACGACTACCTTTCTTTCCTCTTTGCAGTGACAAATACTGCATGTCTTTAATGGCTTCAACAGTTAAAAACCAATTTGAGATAAGGTAGAAGGCTAGTTGTCTGCGAAACACATTGTACACATTATTTCATCCCGTAGACATTCAACCTCAAACTTCAGAATGGATTTGTGCTGTTTGATGGATGAATTTCAAATAAAAAAATAATTCCTTGCGAAGATTTATATTATTTTGCTAATCTACTGTAGAAGTCCATATTGTCTCAAAGTGGAGTGAAGTAGTTATTATACAGGGTGTTCCTTAATGATAAGCTAATATTCAAGGGGCCGATTCTTCTACCCATTCCAAGAATAAAACTTCATATGAACGTATGTCGTGAACGTCCTAACTTATGAGATACAGGGTGTCAATGTTGAAAATATGCAGAGATTATTATTTTGTCCACCCTGTATAACTTTTCGTATTGAAGTCTGGTCTCGTTTTTCCGTTTTTTTCTCGAAAACGAAGCATTCTATCGAGTATCAACACGAGGATCATTTTTGACATAATAAAAAAGCCTTCTATGACTTTGAATAAAATTCGCGAATTTTTTGTCGTTGCTCACTTTTAAGTAAAATATAAACAATAATATTCCCGTAACGGTGCCATTGGTAGAGAAAATTGAAGTTTTCGTACATCAGAAAATGCACCTTGATGCATATAAGAGTTGTTTCAAATTTCATGAAGATTTATACAATATTGTCTCTGTTATGATCAAGAAACTGAATATTTTTCAAAACATCATCACCCTGTATCTGAAAAGTTAGGACTTTTGAGACATACGTTCATATGAAGTTTTCTTCTTAAAATGAGCCAAAGAATCACCCCCTCGAATATTAGCATGTCTTTAATGGACACCCTGTATAGTAAGACGACTTGGAGAGTTTTCTACTATTGTATTATATTATTTCACTATTTGAATTTGAAATATTTATATGCAGTTATGAACAACACACTCTCAGGGGTAATACCATGAGTGCTCAGAAATCGTTGACGTCCAATGGGCCTGTTTCAGTGAAAGATTTTATTTCATAACATAAAAAAAGCAGGAAAACGCGTGACATAATCATCCGTGGAAAATTCAATTCAACCATATATAAGATTCGACATTGTCTATTTCGATAAGACAAGTTCAAGAATAGTTTTGCTTGTCATTTCGATCTAAATATTGAATTAATTTTCTTGAGTGAATACTTATTTCGGATAACAGAACACGACACACAACTGAAGAATCAGATATTGATATGAAGATTATCATTGAATATTCGCAGGATTTGTAAGATTCGATCATGGATTTGGCTAGATGGTTTGGAAGATGATAGTGACAGGCAAGAGTGGGGTTAGCAGGTTAGGTAAGAATAATTCTGAACTTCAGTATAACGCTGTTGCCGTAGACATGCATAAAATACTTTTTCAAATCCATCCATTTGAGTAGCGCTTTAGCCCAATAGGATAGTGGACTTTTTTACTTCGCAAATCGCAAAAATCAGTCAAATTCCTTTCAATCTCGTATTTTTTTAAAATCATCAATAATGCCACGGTAATTTTCGAACAGCTAGAAATTAACTGCCAGTAAAAACTGACGTCACGATTTCATTAAAAAGAAGTGAACGTACACATTTGCGCCGAAGTGACGAAAATAGTTTGAATTTTGACACTACTTGTCAGTCGATAAAAAGATTGATCAAGATTGACAAGCCTGACTCACGATAGCCTTTAACTGCTGTACAACTTGTGTGTGTACTTTTTTTACATTTGTGTACATTTTTTTTTATCTCAAACCGACAGGTTTTCTCCTGGCTGATCAGGGATACGATGTATGGTTAGGAAACTATAGAGGCAATACTTATTCTAGAGGACACGTGACTTTGCCAACATGGAGTGCCCAGTATTGGAATTTCAGCTGGCATGAAATGGGAATTTATGATTTACCTGCAGCTCTTTATTATGTTAGCAACACAACAGGTATTTATTAATGTCATGTTCATTTTCAAAGCTTCAGAGAATACAGAATATAATTTATTCACTGGGGAAAATAGTCAGGTCATTCGTTAAGTCTCTAAAAGGTACATACAAAATCTTAGCACATATTCCGGGAGTCAAAATAATCTGATTTGAAGCAACTTACAACAGTCCGAAACGGCGCTGTTCCGAGATATAAGGTGGTAAATTTAAAAAATAAAATTCGAATTTTTCAAAGGACCCCGCACGAAAACACGGGAAATTGACTCTCGGTCGAATTGGCTGAAATTTTACTATGTTGTTGTGGGATGGCTCACCGAGACTGTCCGAGAGAGAGCCAATTTCCCGTGTTTTCGTGCGGGGTCCTTTATGAACGTTTTTCAATGAACTTCTCTGAGAATCGGTAGCTTGGAGTTTTTTTGAAATGCGAAACCCGAATGCGGACACCTTTTCACTATAGCCGTCAGAAGGCTCTCATATTCGTACATCAACTTTGAGATATTTTGGTCTTTAATGAATGAGAATAGTTTGCTGCTATCTTCCTGGATGTGCTTTGGTCAGTGAATCAGCAGTTCATAATAGATCCTTCAAAATTCTTTCTAGGAGAGTGTACTTGACAAATTTTTGATTTTACCCCCTTGTATCTCGTAAAGGAAAACGGAGCAATCTGGGACTGAGGTTCAATATTTTTTCAAATGTTGATGAAAAATTCGCTGGAACAGCAGTTAATATTCATTACGTTACAAGACCGATATGTATAGCGAATAACGAATGAGGTTCAATATTCCGAGGCGCAGCCGAAGAATTTAACAACCGAATCTGTTATCTGCGTATCGGCCGTGTGTCGTTCACGATTTTTCGTAATCCCGCTGGATGGATACATTTTGATTCCGAGGAAAAACAAACCAGGTACCTCGTATTCTACAAAAAAATCCCAACATCGTGTTGTTGATATTTACGTTACGAGTATTGTGAAGACTCATATTACGATATGGGATAGGAAATTTGTCAAACGAGGCTGGAGGCCGAATTTGATAACCCATCGATTATCGTAATATGAGTTTACGATACGAATAAAGTACAATATTTTACCTACTATCAAAAAGCTAATTATTTGATCAAAAATATTCAATATTCCTTGAACTGACGATTCATTAGGAATATGTAACAAGCAAGCGTGGCCAGGTTTGGGCGTATGGTTGTAGTGAATCTATTGTGTTCTCAGTTGTCACTCATTCGGCGCACCGTCAACTTTGACGCGTTAATTTCAACACAAAAAAAAATCATCGGCATGTGCATTCGGATCAGGAAAGTTTAGATTCCGGCAGCAATCGAAACTTTAGTACCTGCTAAATCCCGGGATAGGTACGAAAATGAATTTAAGGAATTTGAAATGTGATGCTGTTCAAAAAAAGTCCCTGATCGTTGTATGTCAGAGAAAATTTCATTGGCTTATTTTGCTGGTGAAGCTGAAAAAGGGAAGCCAGCCACATTATGGACACGCTACAGTATGTTGAGAACAACCATTTCTATGTAGAATAATGTGGATATTAGTAAACATCCACAGATGTTATTATATTTTTTCACTTTACCGCACTAGTGCGGTGAAGTTACACTTCACATCACTGGTGCGGTAAAGTATCTCATTACGATACTGAAATCAGTGTCGTAATGTTTCACGTCACATATTGGTAGTAGGTAATAGTTATTTATGTATCAAGGGCGTAAAATAGGCTTTTATGGACCGCAGCGTGTAAGTGTAAGTAATAGACCGAGCGATAGCGAGGGCTATTAACACGCCTAGGTCCATAAAAGCTAGTTACGCCCGAAATACATGCAACATTTTATGCACGACCTGTATATATTTGATATCTGATGTAGGTATCTCTTCACCCCTCAAGCACAATAGAAATACATCACGGTTGCAGTGAGACTGTATTGTATCCATATCGCGAATACAATTAATCAAGAAGTATGGAATCAACGTTACCATGGCAACTCAGTCAATTTTTCGAAATAGGAATTAATAGGCCAGTAGCCATATTAACTGTCAATTTGTGTAATCACACATAATTCATTAGTGATTTCAAAATGAATTCTAGTGATGAAGAAAGTGTGAATTGTACTCCACCAGAAATTAGTGAGGCAGCTGAGGAAGCAAAATCGAGATTATTGCCAAGTAAATCAAAAAAAATATATACGACAAAGTATACGAAAAATTCGTAAGCTGGTGCGATATGACAGTGACATTAGCTTTACCACCAGCTCAATGACTTTATCGCCCGCCGGGCGGTAAAGTAGTCCGCGGGCGGTAAAGTGCCACTTTACACCCGCAAACCCGGGCGGTAAAGTGCTACTTTACGCCCGGTCGTGCATAAACAATCTTAAGGGATGGGGGCTGTTAACATAAACTACTCAATTTTCCTATGAAAACCGTTGAATCAAAATAACAATATGGGATCACGAGAATACCCATATATCATCATTAATATCCATCTCTGAAACAAACGCGTTGAACAGTTGTGAGCATTCAGAAATGATAATGAAACTTTCGCAAGCCAGATGGTGGTGAACAAGTACCACTTATATTCTGACCCATTCCAACTGCTCATATCTACGATATTCAAATTATCGTTGTGCGGTTAGGATTTCTCAATTTTGATATTCTTCAAGTTTTTTGACTGGTTCACCTTCTCACCTGAACTTCCGGTCTTCCGGAAACAAAAAAGCCATTATTCAGGTATAGGGCAATTTTGATAACATTGCATAATCTCATTTAAACATTCCACAAGCAGTAGTTGTTTCAAAGAGTTATGACTCTAATAGTTTTCTAGGAGAACATAACTTGTAATACATTGTTAGATAGTTTAAAGACCAGTCTTTCTGAATGTGCAAGAATATACAGGGTGATTCAGTGAAATAAAAAAGTTGACCTATACCTGGATTATTGCTTGTTTGTTTCCGGTAGAACCGGAAGTTCAAGTGAGAAGATGAACACGTCAAAAAAAAAACATAAAACACGTCAAAATAGACTAGTCCAAACCGCACAACGATAACTTGGATGGTTTCAGAGATATGAGCATTTGAAATGGGTCAGAATATAACTGGTCACCCGGTATAATATCGCAAGTTCCATTTGTTCAAGGAAAGTACGGGGAAATCATATACATAGGTCACTCGATGGGTGGCACTGGGTACTTAGTAATGTCCTCCACCAAGCCAGAAGCTGCCAAAAACGTGAAACTGATGATTGGCCTGGCTCCCGCTAGTCACATGACGAACGTGACCTCCCCAGTACGCTACCTAGCGCCGTACGCCAATGACATCCAGTGGTTGTCCAAGTACCTGGGCATCAACGAGCTCCTACCCAACGATAAGCTCCTCAAGTTCCTCTCCTATGAGTGCGACAAAACGGTCAAGAACGACAAAATATGTGGAAATGTCCTGTTCATTTTCCTTGGCTTCGAGAAAGACGAGTTCAACGTAGATATTTTGCCGAAAGTGTTGAGTCATGATCCTGCAGGTAATAATAATAATAAATTTGTTTATCTCCATGCAATTGAATATTTGTATAATATGAAGACAAAATCGAAGCACGAATCACTAAACGTGATTGTTTGTGGTTATGCCCATTCACTGGAAATTACTGAAAATACAATTATTTTGGAGAAGACGAGTAAAATATATTTCGATAAGCAATGCTGATAGTCATGTCCCAGAAGTGAAAGCTTGAGTGGGTTATGTGAAATACCATAAGCTACAACGTCCGTTTAGGTCCTAGTGGATGCGTATGGAAGTCAAGCTCATATCGCTTGTGTTGTGGTATAGTAGAAAAAATACACAACATAGAATGTACTGATTAAGGAGGTGCTAATATTTTTGTTGTTGTGTATTTATCAACACACTTTCATTATTTCATTTTCTACTTCTCTTCAGTTTGGCTAACTATAAAAGCGCGCTTCTTTAGTTTTTTGAACTATACTAAAACTACGCAACAATTCGCACCCCAAAATTTTGCCCCCTGTTGAAATGTGAATAACTTTTTTTCTGCATCCAAAAATTTGGGTTTGGATCACGTTGTTGCTAGCACAGTCCTTCAGCAATAATTTCTTTTCTCTTCAGAACATGGGGTTCTCCATATAAAATCGCTACCGGGTGTCACCTGATGCTACTGTGCAATATTTCGGAATTTCCAAAAGGATCCTAAATAAACAATAACTTATTCTTCCAACTCCGACAGCAGATGTATGAAAAGTATCTCACCTCGAGATATTTTTGAATTGTCTTCTTATTTCTTATATTCACAGAGGGATCTCAAAAAATTGACTGTTTGGTTTCGCAGTCATAACTCATTCCCAGGCTCATTTGGAGCATAAACTTCAGATGAAGAGATATGAAGATCAAAATTGACTCAAGATGAACCTTATACAGTGTCTTACTTCCAATGGAAGCAACCCTGTACCTCTTGTAATTGTTGGGTTAAGATTCTGAAATTGGGGTATGTTGACGAAGATTTTGGATTATTTTTTTGTGTCGAAACTATTCATTATCGGTCAAAACGACCCACATGTCCCAATCTCAACTTTTGATTTACTATTTACTGATATTTAATCGGAACAGATACAGGCTGGTTCAAGATTCAGAATTCTGATCACCCTGTATCTGTTCCGATTGAATATCAGTAAAAAGTGAATCAAAAGATGATGTAGGGACATGTGAGCCGTTTCGGCCGATAATGAATAGTTTCGACACAAACTATTCCTAAAGTTGAAAAATCTTGATTTTGAACACCCTATATCTCTGTCATCATTTCCGATAGACCCCAAGTGTGATGCATAGATGAAATCAACTCTCCAGGAAGAATTTGAAAATGTAATGAAATACAGGGTGTTCCATTTGAAATATCAATGTTGCTACTACTTTCTAGTAGAAGCAGAAACACTGCATTGTCGAAAATATTTTAAATCAAGATAGCGTATTCTCAGATATATACATGCATATTTTCATGGGTTTTTCGACTGATTCTCGATATAGAGATAGTGTATACGAGAAAAAAAGTCTTGTTGCACCAACAAAATAATTTTGGTGATTTTTTTGTGTTAAATTAAACACAATTTTGCGAAATCAACAAAATATATGTTCATTCCAAATAAGCGACCTATTCAAAGCGACAAAATGATTTGATTGAAATATTTGCTTACTTGAACAAAAGTTTCATTTCATTCAACAACATTTATGGTTGATCCAACTATTAACTCATTGTTCAATCAATTATATGCATCTTGTCTATTCGACAAAATTAAATAGATTTTGACAAAGATTCAACTAAATACAACATCATATTTTGTTGAGTCAACAATCATTTCATTGTGCAACCAATCAAAGGTTTTTTTTTATTCGACAAAATTGAATTGATTATGACAACAATATATTTTGTTGATTCACACATCACTATCAGAAAATATGTTGTTATTTCAAACAGATTATTTTATTGAACAGAACCCACAGATACATTATATCAAACGATTATTTCGTTGAAAGAATATCTAGTTTGCATTTTCGCCACCAGGTGGCGTTTCTTTCAACAGTCCTACGGTCGCCTCGATGGGGTGTACATATACCTACCTAGAACATCCGTTTGAATAATTATATTAAGCTGTCCTAGAATTTCTAATGACGCTTATACAAGATAATAGTCTTGAATCAACTGAGGAAATTGTTCTCGTAATTTCTCTCAGTTTTGGAATTCAGTTATTGGATTCTTTTGATATTATTCAACAAAATATTTTGTCAATTCTAAATACAATTTTGTTGATCAAAACTCTTTGAAAAACTGAAAATTTTGTCACTTGAATGAAATAATATGATCATTTCAATCAGCAGACTCTGTTCATAAGAGCAGATATCGTATTATATAGGAACAAAATAGTCATTGTTTATTCAATCAATTCCTGCTGTTGATTTGAATCATTATTGAGTTACATCAAATACATTTTGAATTGGAAACTGACAAAAAACATTTGTTGCGGTGACAAAATATTTGGTCGTGGATATATGACATTCAGATCATGTTGAATTCACAAAGATTTTGTAGTTTCAAACAAATTTTTTTTTTCTGTGTAAGCTCGTCATGACATACCCTGTATAACCTTAGGTACATCTTCCAAAACTGTGTTGCACTACGCTCAGGAGATCAGGGACCACGGCAGATTCCAACAGTACGATTACGGGCTCGAAGGGAACTTGATCAAATACGGAACACCTTCACCGCCCTTGTATAAAATGGAGAAGGTGAAGTCGAAAGTGTATTTGATGTACGCTGAAATGGACAACTTAGCCAGTGCAACGGACGTGCGGATACTGTCTAGGGAATTGAAAAATCTCGTTGGGCTGTACAAGGTTCCGCTGAGGGTGTTCAATCATGTGGATTTTATATTCGGAAAAGATGCCTATAGTTTAGTTTATAAAAAGGTTCTGGAGGTTATGAAGAATTTCACGATCAATTAGGTGCTAGGTAGTTTATTATTATTGGTAATTAAATTCATCGTTGTAATTTTCTGTACTTTTAATTTCATTTCCCGAAGTTGTTATTACATTGAAGATTTCAAATAACGATCTGAGACACCCGAATGTGTACGTGTTCAATCATGTGGGTTTTTTATTCGGAAAAGATGCCCACAGTTTGGTTTAGAAAAACGTTCTGGAGGTTATAAGGAAGTTTATAATTATTGGTAATCAAATTCATCGTTGTAATTCTTGGTAGTTTTATTTTCTTTTCCCGAAGTTGTTATTACGTTGAAGATTTCAATCACGATCTGATGACACATTATGAATGTGAATTATTGAAATGGTATATTATCTAAAAAGTTCACAGTTACAAAAATATGGAAGTTGCAGTACCTACGAGCCGAAAGTCATCATCAAAAACTATTACGATATCATAGCAACTTTTGAAGTTCAAAAATGAATCTCTGGAAATCGGAGAGTATTAAACTTGATCAAAAATATTTCTAGCAATTGCCAATGAATAGCCCATAAAAATATACCCAAAATACCACACCAGTCTACTCATTACATTTATAATTTTTTTCTCTTCAAAATCATCGATTATGTATGGATATGAAATTTTCAAAAATGTTCAAAAATCTCTAAAACATTGAAATTCAATAGTAGGCTATGGATTTTTCATGTGAAAAAGTTCCAATTTAAGGAATATTTCTATCGATTTTTCCATAAAGAGGACAGAAACAATATCAAACCAATCAACTAACAAAACATACAAGTTAGTTACCTGATAGCAACAAATAAATAGTAAAAAAGGTCATAAAGTAGAATAAGAGCCTGATTGAATACTATAACAATTGAATTTCGAAATTATTCATGCAGTCACTTATTCATTGAATTGTTCAAATTGATGTCCATTTTCCCTAACACAAAACTGACAAACTTTTCCAATCTTTGGAAGAAGTCCATGGTAACTCAAAGTGGAGTGGTGTAGTTCATAGATGAAAACCCAAAGTCATCTCCACAAAGTTGTGGAGATGACTTTGGGTTTTCATCTATGAAACTTTTTCAATGCGTGCTTATACATTAAGAGGTACAACAATCTTGCAGAACTTCGTGCAACAACAGAGGCAGTTTCCAGAAATTCCAAGACATTTTCAATGCATATGATGTATTGAGAAAATGTGTGAGGAAAAATGGACATCAATTTGAGCAATGCGATGAATGAGTTACTGAGTAATTTCGAAATTCAATTGTTTTAGTAAACATTCAATCAGGTGCTTATTTTTAATTATGAACTTCCTATTACTCTTTATTTGTTGCTTGAAGTAACAAAGTTTTTTGTTTTGTTAATCAGTATTGGTATTGTTTTTGTCCTTTTCATGAAAAAGCAAAGGAAAGATTCCTTCAATTGGAACTTTTTCATGCTTTTGGAAAAGAAATAAGAAATTTAATGAGCTGATAAAATACAGGGAGTCATTTGAAAAATCATGTGTGAGTCGTACCTCCAAAAGCATACTCCGAAAAAAAAATTGTGCGCCACTGGATTCTGCGTAAAATTCTCTATAGGCTAAGATTTCAATTCGACATTTTCGCTGAGAAACTTTGTAGAAATAGAGGGGGTCCAAAAATTATGAATTATCAAAATCGCCCTGTATCTCAAAAACGGAAACAGTTATGCAAAATCTGATTGAGGATTAGGCCATCTTGAGTTTCACAAGAAAGTGGCACATGACCGCGAAAACCGCAAGGTTCTACTTCCAAAGATAACTGAGATATCATTCAAAAGCATGGAGAGCTGGACACACTGTACAGTTATTAAATAAACCGAATACCTACCTACTCTGAATTTGACACGGCAATTACTGTCAATTAACTATTGAGAATCGAGTGAGTAAGAGTAAACAAAGAAACATGAACGTTGTTCTTTATTCAATTCCAAAAGTGAATTTCCAAATCGAACAAATCACATTGAAGAATTTAGCTTTTTTGATTGCTATCATTGCTTGGTATTCAAGTTTCTTTATCAAAAGCTCTGGATTTCTTTCCATTTATCGATTTGAAGGCATTTGGTGCACATGGTATTTGTCGTTTCTCTGGTAGTTTTGGTGATGCCGGTTGTACTATAAAAGAATAATTTATCGTCCATTAATTAGAAGACAAAGAAGAGTAATATTAACAAGAACTAAAGTATGAGACATAAGATACAATATCAATGTCAGAAATGGAATTGGAATGTCAATTCTAGCTCTATATACAGGGTTATTCAGGTTTCAAGGTACACACAGAAATGGGTGATAGATCTCATCATTCTGATAAAAAAAGTTCATATACACGTGGGTCATAATTATCTCTATCAGTAACGGAGCTGCAAGTGGTCAAAATTTGAATATTTCTTTTAACAACTAAAATATCTCGCTCACTTCTAGAGATATCAGATTTGAAATTGGATGTGGTCAATACTTCCTAGAAGATCATCATTTGAAGCATTTTGGAGATTTTCAAAATCTACAGGGTGATACATTTTTGGGGGAAGACGCTTCTTAATATCCCCTAAACTTTTTCATAGTACGCCTTTGACATCTTCCAGTTACCGAATAGAGTGGATCGTTATATCCAAAGTGGCCAATTATCGAAAAACTGAATTCATTCCATATTTATTATGCCCCTCACTGTATACTAAATGGTGATTCATCCAACTTCCCATTCTAGCAAACTAAAACTGCTTTTTTTCTATTGGGTACTCCATTTTGTCAATGATCGTGATATGTGGTAGGAATTAATCAGCAGCATTTGTGAAAATTGCAGGTTTCCTCTAATACTAATAAAACAAGATTTTTGCCTATTCATTTATTATCTATCATGAATAAATGTGATAGTCAACATCTAAAGTAGAAACAAGTTTACGAACATTCTTGAAAGACGAAAATTTGTTGAGTAAAACTCAAGATATTAGCTTGTCATTGACCAGATTGACCATAGGCTCTTGATAGCTTTCCAGACACTGTTCGGAAAAACTCCGGTGCACATGGTATTTGCCTATTTTGTTTTTGAGATTGTGCTATAAAAAATGTAATAATGTTATAATGATGTACCCAGACTAGGATATGATATTCTCCGTCTAAGGAACCACTAGTTTGGTTCCTCTATAGATTACCAAACAGATTTTTCCATGCACGATAATGTGACCTTTCAGAGGTCTGCATACGACATAACCAAAAAATACTAGGGCTATTTATCTGAGCCGGAAAGTTGATAGTTCTAGATAAAGGGTTCAATAGTTTTTTCTTTCAAAGATTTTGGCAAATATTCATTTCAACAATGACAGTTCCTCGCATAATTCCGAAAAATGGTCATTGGGATTATTATTTGCAAAACATTTTGAGAAGAAACAATAATTATGAAACCTTTGTGTTTCAAAAACTATCAACTTCAGTTTGGGCTTCCTATAAAGGGGTACCTGGGATTACGTTTTGGTTGATGGCTCAGTGACGAGTGTTGTAGGTATACAGGCTGATTCAGGTTTTGAGGTACAAACTGAGATGGGAGATAGATCTCATCATTTTAATAAAAAAAATTTATGTAAACATCAGTCCGATCGGACTAATGTTTATATAAACTTTTTTGATTAAAACGGTGAGACCTATCTCCCATTTCAGTTTGTGCCTTAAAAACTGAATCACGCTGTATAACGAAATTCAAAAAAGTACATTGAGTGGCTGGAAAAAGGTGAAATTACGGCCAAGAGTGGAGTCGTTTTACTCTGATACTGATATTCATCATAACTATTACTCATATAGGAGTTACAATGTCAGAGTTTCATTCAATCGGTACTGGAAATTGACTTTTAACTTTTTTTGGCACGCTCTGGTTGTTGAAGACAGCCAGCAGCCTGTATGAATAACTCACGTTTCATGATTTGATAATATATTTGGGAGATAACAATAAGAATGAAAAAACTAAGGTTCTACGACAACATTCGAAAGGCTTTCCGTCCTTGCTCAATTATTTCAAATACCAGCGAAAAAATATATCGTTTCTCCATTCTTTGTTGTCACGACCATTGATAAGTGCTAATTAATGATGACCAAAGATTTTCGTCTTCTTTCCAGAAATTGATCCAAATGCATCAGGTGCACAAGGAAATTGTCTCTTACTGGGATGTGCCGATTGCACTATAACAAATATTGAAATAATTTAGTTCAATACACAGGGTGTTTATCTTAAGGGCTGGCAAACTGACAAATAAGATTTTTTTTATACAAGAAGGTACCTACTATATAATTTCGATTTTTTTTTTGTCCAACATACTTCATATACAGCGTGTTTCAGATTTGAATGTATGTACATACGATACCGCAGAGAGGTCACTTCGTTGGTGTCAAATCACCTCATTGATGTGTCTATATACGGCCTTTATAACTGAGATACATAGAATGTCATCTTGATTTTGGCAAAATCTTCATCTGATCATAATTTTTGAGCCACTTTGTATAATCTTAGTACTTGGTATACGTCTTGAGGAAAAACATAATTTTTTTTCAAAAACAACACTGTATGGCAGAATTTTTTGGATCTGTTTTGATTCCTATTCGAAAAGAACAGGCGAAAACTATAAATTATTGACAGTTATTCCATTATTATTTCTAGAGATATTCAATTTGATGCATTTTTGTTGAACTCGTTATCCAAAATACAATTTTAATACAAATAATAACGCGAAGTTCAACATCATCAAAGTAAAATTAGGCGTACTCTCGATAGATTTGTTCGTTTGACAGAATAACTTGTCAATAATTTCAGGAATTTTAGAGGATCAAATGTACATTTGAATCTGAAACACTCTGTATATTTCTAATTCCGGAAACACCCTATACGTTTAGAGCAGTTTATGATCATCATAAATGATAATTTGCATTATCTATCGAATTGTTTTTCTAAATTGCCCATGCATTATGATAGTGGGTATATCTACAAGTATATTCAATAAATGAGACTCAGGCTTCATTAATCTTAACTAAGTCAGCCGATTGAGTCATTCAAATAATCAAAATGGATAGGTACTTGGGCCGATTTCATAATGAGATACTAATAGCTGGTTTCGTTGAATTATACCTTTTGTTAAGGGGCCATTCAAATCCAATGATTGATACTAATGAATTCATAATTACTTCACAATGTTAAGTAAATTACCATTTGAAGGAAATTGAGCAACGTTGGTAGTCCTGAGAAATCAATCACTTACAGGGGCAATATACTATATTGTTCATTTTGCTCTATTATTTGGGATTTTGTCTCTTCGTTTCTATAAATTAAAAATATTATGAGTTCTTAGATGAAAACCCAACGTCATATTGAATGATTGATTGATTGGTTTTATTACCCCAAGAAACATATCTGTTCATAATAGGGATACATGAACACATATAATAAAAATAATAATAATATTGACAGGTTAACTAATGAATTCTATTCAGTGGAAACAAATTCGTACTGTTTCTTGAGATGAAAGTTATAACATTTCAATTCTGAGTCAATCCATTCGGTAACATTACTTAATTCAACATTCTCTTCACTTTATTCTAGAAAATTTAATATTGCTCATTACTCCTCGACAATAGAGTTTTGGACCAGAGTGTATACAGCACTTTTGACTTGAAATTGCCTGAAGCTATGATCGGCATCGATTCACGGGATAGACGATTGGATTTTTCTAAGAGCCTAAATCTAAACATTTTCAAACGTAGTGTCATTTTGGGGCAAATCATCTGATTAATTTTTACTACACGTATAGGTGAGATAATACTCATATACTTATTGTATCGAAACGAAGAGGCAAATAATCTAGCAGAATGAATGTACAGGGTCGTCACGTATATTTTGAACCCCCACTAAACTCTCATGGGTACTTATATTGTTTAATTTATTCTTTCAACGAATATATCGAGAAAGACTTATGGGCAACATTTATTAATTTTTGGGGTCTGGCTGAAATTATTAGAGATATAGGGTGTGAAAAATTGTGATTTGTTCAACATTAGGCATTTTTTGTGTCGAAACTATTCATTATTTGCCATGCAAAACGGTGTCCATGTCCTCATCTTGATTTACTATCTATACTGACATTCAATTGAAAATACAGAGTCATCAAAATTTTTCACTACCCTGTGGTATGCAAAATTGGGCATACCACTGTTCCCTCTGAAGGCACCTTTATCTATGAATATGTATTATGGAATCGATCTGAAACTTAGTGTCCTTCAACATATTTAATGGTGCATTCAATTCGATTATGAAATCGGCCCATATTATGTTCCTTGTACTTCACAACTCATTGTTATACCCTGATATCATGTACTTCAATATAACATCGAATTTAATAACGTATATCATGCCTGCATTTAATTGGTTGTAAGTTGTGATACACAAGTGAACAAATACATGAATGTAATTATTTGTTTTTACCTTGAGAAGACATCAAGATGACCATGAGGACGAGCATAACCCAAAACTGAAAACAAAAGGTTTTGATTCAAGGGTTATATAATTCAATGAATAAATGGAGTATCATTCAACCCCCAATAATTTTATTTGAAAGTCTTCCTGCATGACGTCTGGATATATACAGCTAGGGTGGCCCTTTGCAAACGAAATAGAGGTCTGTAGGTCGCCAAACCCGGATTATGAAAAAAATCTGAAACATATCAACTACATTTTCGAGGGGGACATCGTTCTAAATTATTTTCAGCTCTGCGGCGTTGCCGCTTCTGACGAAAAGTAGCAACAACTTTGTTTTTTCAGATGGAACACCCTGTATTTCATTGCATTTTTGAATTCTTCCCAAAGAGCTGATTTCATCAATGCATCACACTTGAGATCTAGCGGCAATGATTACAGAGCTATTCGCCATTCTTCAACTTTAGGATTTTTTTTTTGTGTCGAAATTATTCATCATTGGTCGACGCGACTCACATGACTACATCTTGAATTCCGATTCACTATCGACTGACATTTAATTGGAACAAATACAGGGTGGTTCAAGATTCATAATTCAGAGATGATCCTGTTTCCAATTAAATGTCAGTTAATAGTAAATAGAAAGTTGAGATAGAGATATTGAAGCCATTTTTATCAATGATGAATAGTTTCGACACAAAAAAAATGCTAAAGTTAAAAAAACTCGATTTTGAACACCCTATATCGCTCTGTAATCATTGCCGCTAGATCTCGAGTAGTGTGATGCATTGATGAAATCAGCTCTTTGGGGAGAATCTATGAAAATGCAATGATATACAGGGTGTTTCATTTGAAATAACAAAGTTCTTGCTACTTCTCGTTAGAAGCGGCAACGCCGCAGAGCTGAAAAAAATTTAGAACGATGTCTTCCTTGGGAATGTAGTTGACGTTTCAGATTTTTTTCAAAATCTGGTTTTGGCGACCTACATAGCCTCTGTTTCGTTTTCTAAGGACCACCCTGTATATCCTTTCATGAAATGAAAATCGACCACTTGGAGTAAAACCATCAAAAAATGAATCCCAGATTTTAGAAACTCAACAAAGAGGCATGCAAAGGGTTACTTCAAGGACATAGTGCGCGAATCTATTATCAAGATGAGATTTTTCTCCAAAGATAACTCACCTTTATGTAGCCAATCATGATTGGAGGTTTACAAGGAGTAGATGGTTGCAGGAACTTCAATTAATCCTGAAAAAAGAAGAAAAACAATACAAAATCGAATGAATTGTTATAATTATGAGCAGAAAGAGATACTGAGGACCTCAGCCCTTTTTCTCACCCCTTATCAAACCCAGAATAAGTGAATTCGTTTTAATAATCCATGTCCGAATATCTAATGAACTGATTATTGTCCCATCGAAGTAATCAGATTTACTTAGATACCTACCTGTGTATCAACCTGTATATTTGCAAACTTTCGGTGAAACAGAAATTTGTATTTAATCATACTTTGCATTATACTGCATGGTAAAGGTACTTGACTCTTTCAAGATTCACCTCGATATTAAAGATGGTATTCGTTTCTGATGATTGAATCAATAATATTAATTTCACCCACTGTTTCAACTCACAGGCAGGTATCCTGACGATATCATTGATTATTTAGCAAAATGGACTGAGAAAATTAATGGGGCGGAATCTAGTCAGCGCTGGCTTTCAGAAGATTTTACCAAAGGGTATAATAATATGTAAATAATGGTAATCTTTGGGAAAAAATATCCATCGTTCATGAAGATTCCTTCGACTATTGAAGAAGCAGTGTTCTCAAAAAAATGTATCACCTATCATAACCGTACTACTGTACCAACCTATATTCTACTTTTGGAGCGCACGAGAGAAAATTCCAGTTTATAAGTTCTTGGGAATAATTCTAAAGCTAAAAGCTACCTACATTCAATTCACGAGATCATGAAGAATCAATGGATACTCAACCCCATACCCTACATTTGAATTCATTTTGGAGTTGCTTTTCCATGGTCTGTGATGATGAAAAGGAGTAATGCATATTATTATGAATAATTCAAACTTACTGATATAATTCTCACTAATTTTCATCAGAATTCTGGAACGTTTCTCGCAGCTTCCGTCGAAATTATGACATCTGCATTTTCAATAATCTGACATTCCCTAGGCAATGGCAGCATTCAAGCAACAGATAAGTTGATCGGAACGATATTCGATATCACATGTGCATTCTACAGGATATTCCAGACATCTCATTCCAGACTATCCAGTTTGAACGTGATAGAGTAAAATACACTTGCATTCAGAAATAATGAAGCTCTAAAACGATGATTGGATTTATTTCATTTTATTCATATTACACATATTTATAGTCCTATTTACGGATGCTTTTATTAATTTGTGTTGCTTATACCTAACTAGTAAATCATTTTGTTTTTCTGAAACGTTTTCGAAACTAACTCTGAGAAATAGGAAACATTCCTATACAGGGTATGACACGACAAATTTACACTTTCTCTATATCAAGAATCAGTCGGAAGCAACCCATGAAAATATACATGCAGTGTTGCCGCTTCAATCAAAAAGTAGCAACAACTTTGTTATTTCATATAGAATACCCTGTGTTTCATTGCATTTTTATATTCTCTCCGAAGAGCTGATTTCATTGATACATGACACTTGGGGTCTATCAGGAATGATTACAGAGATATAGGGTGTTCAAAATCGAGATTTTTCCACTTTAGAATTTGTTTTTGTCGAAATTATTTATTATCGGTCGATACGGCTCACATACTATATGTCCCTATCTCAACTTTTGATCAGAATTCTGAATCTTGAACCACCCAATTAACATTAACATTGGAATGTTTCAGATGACACGTATTAGGGAACTTTTGTTGTTGTTTCAGAAACGTGTTGTATGTTTACTGGGTATATGGTTCAAGATGGAGATTGAATTCACGAAACAGAAAATTGAAATACCAGTGATCTATATTCGGTAAAAATTATTCAGAAAGGTCTTTGTGGTGATAATTGCTTTCGAAATCCAATTTATTGAAACAGAAATATCTAGAGTTATATCAGTCAATGTTATAGTATTTAATTGGAAGAAATGTTTTATGTATGTTCATGTTGGTGATCAGTCTCACCTAGAAGGTCCTTATTCTACCATTGTTGAATGACTTCACTTGTCATTTGAGAGTGAACTTGCCTATAATAATCGACTCTAGGACTTGTTGAGTTGAATTGAACCATTGAATTACCTAATTCCAGTCATAAGTTTGCTGAAAGTTCAACAACAAGTGTATACGGGGTGAGTCATGGAAATGGGAAAGTGAGATGTCGGCTTCGCTGTTTGAGATAAATGACGAAAAATTCTTTTGATGGTCTAGGCGCGCGACGTATCAAAGTTATACTTTTTCTTATGGGACACCCTGTATTTCATTGCATTTTCGGATTCTCCTCTGTGAGCTGATTTCATCAATGCATAACACTTGGGGTCTAGCAAGAATGATTACAGAAATAAACGGAGTTCAAAATCGAGATTTTTCAACTTTAGGATTTGTTTGGGTCGAAACTATTCATTATTGGTTAAAACGTCTTACATTTCCCTATTCAAACTTTTGATATACTATCTACTGATATTTAATTCGAACGAATACAGGGTGGTTCATAATTCTGAATTTTGAACTACGCCTACCCTGTATTCGTCCAAATTAAATATCAGTAGATAGTGAATCGAGAGTTAAGATGGGGACATGTGAGCCGTTCTGACCAATAATTAATAGTTTCAACAAAAAAAATTCCAAAGTTGAAGTTGGGTTCAGTAATATGTACCTACATAAACTAACATGGAGTGAATTGACGTCATTCATACTTACACTCCTTAGGTATTCAAGAAGTCATTCAGCGAATTAGGTTCTGATGCGATTAACAGTTTTCTTATTTCTGATTTGAAGTATTTTTGACTACTCTCTACTTTTATGTCATTTGGCAATTCATTGTAGAATTTTATACACACATATAATGAGGACTTTTCTCTGCTGATAGTGTCAGGCGATGTAGGGGGTAGTATATTCTTGATGTTGATTTTGAACGTATCATTCCTGCTAGATCCCGAGTTGATGTATTGATGGAATCAGCTCACAAAGGAGAATCTGAAAATGCAATAAAATACAGGGTGTCCTATAATAAAAAGTATAACTTCGATACGCCACGCATATTTGAGTCACCCTGTATACGCGAAGTAATTAAGAAATATGCTGCTCATGAGCCTAGACCATCACAAAATTTTTTATTCATCTATCTCAAACAGCGAAGCCGTTATCTCACTTTCCCATTTCAATGACTCACCCTGTATATTGAATAGAACTCAGTGACAGAATTCCTTGAGTCTAGTTGTACGATCTCTATTGGCTAAGCCTGCGTTCAAGAACTCGAGTGGTAGGAATTTAATTATTAATTTAGTTAATGTACTTCTGATGACCGCACTTCCGACATAGATGAGAAATAATTCAATTTTATCTACTCAAAAAGGTGAATAAAACTCTTATATATTTTCAAAAATAGATTCACAACAGTAAAAATTCAATAAAACAAATTTTCAGACCAATCTAGAATAGACCTTCGATTTCTCCAGTTTCAATATTCAAATCTATGTCATAGATGGCTGGTCTTGTAGGTAATCCTGGCATTTTGGTAATCTGAAATCATAACGGTATATCATTAGTGAGAAAGCTTTGGTACTTGAAAATATATTGAAATTCTATTTAATGTATAGCAATGTACAAATTTTACAAAATTATTGTTTTTACTTTTCAAGGCTGATTATTGGAGCTTTGAAATCGAATGGCAATCATGATCATCTCATACCTCATCGAATCCTATAGGTATTTCATCATTATTATCATAAATGATTATTTTTTATCAATAAAGAGACCTAAAGATGTTTGGTCATTCAGAATTCAGATTTTTTTTTATGAAACATCGATTATTTTACGCCTAGACACGTATGAAGATTGAAACTCATTTCTAATCTTGTTCTGAAGATGCTAACATAGTTAGCGAAACACGTGTCGAGGCGTAAAATATTCGGTTTGGTTAGTGGTAGAACACTATGTAGTGTAATACCGTGCCAAAGGTTCCAGTCTGCGATATAAATTCCCTATTGCATTCATCGTTCAAAATACGGAGACACCCTGTATATAAAATGAATGCTCACCGCTCCTGTAACTGGAATGATGAATTCAGCACCAACGGATATGGACATATCGTTTATGGGTAGAGTAAAACCAGACGGAGCTCCTTTTATTGAAGGATCTGCGGTCAACGACAATGGAGTTTTCGCCATGCAAATAGTCAAGTTTCCAAATCCCTATAGAACAGAAAATCACAATGATAAAATCTATATCTCAGAATATCATCGCCATTTATAGTGATTGATAAATAAAATGAATAAATTCATCCTAATGAATAACTTTTGTATTCACCTGTTCTTCATACTGCTTCAATTTCTTCTTGGCCACTTCCGAATATTTGATATCGCCAGCACCATACATTTCCTTGCTGATGATTTCAATCTTCTGTTCGATCGTCATATCCAGATCATAAAGGAATCTGAACTTACTGGGCTGTTCAGCTGCAGTAACAACAGCCTTGGCCAATTCGATAGCACCTGTTCCACCGTGAGACCAGTGCCTAGAGATCACAGCATCAAAAGCTCCTGCTCCTTTGCAAGCGGATCGAAGAAGGTTGAGTTCTGCTTCTGAATCTGTCCTGAAATTGATCAAATCATCATATTCTTGAAGAAGAAATGCTCACCGTGAAGAAATTGTCTCCAACTTATATTTCAAAGACCTACTCGCGATGATTGATGGCAACAACAACAGGTACACCGAACTTGACCGCATTGCTGATATGTTTGAGTACATTGGGAATGCCTTTCCTAAGTAGATCAAGATTTTCTTGGGTGTATGCTGCAGCTAGTGGAGCACCAGGAGTGACAGCTGGTCCACCTCCATGCATTTTTAAAGCTCTGACTGTTGACACGAGGACAACAGCATTGGGGATATTACCTGAGGCTCTGCATTTGATGTTGAAGAATTTTTCCATACCTATAAAAAGTTGAGTTGTCCAATATTCATTACACATATTGTCTACAGAGATATCTCACCAATATCAGAAGAAAATCCAGCTTCAGTCAGGACAAATCCATCTTCGCCAACTAATTTCAGAGCAATCTTATCCGCAATGATAGAGTTCGATCCGTGAGCTATATTCGCGAACGGTCCAGCATGCATGAATATCGGAGAGCCTTCCAGAGTCTGCAACAGGGTGGGTTCGATAGTGTCCTTGAGAAGCACCATTAATGCTCCAGTAACGCCAATATCGTCGGCAGTTATGGGTTTGCCAGTTTTACTGAAAGCAACCACCATCCTGGAAAGACGATCTTTGAAATCCCTCATGTCGTTTGCCAGAGCAAGGATCGCCATGATTTCACTGGCGACACTGATTGCAAACCCTTCTTTCCTACTGAGACCTTTTTCAGTTGGGGATTCACCGATGGTGATCTCACGAAGGTAACGATCATTGATGTCCATAACTAAAATCATTCATAGCATTAGGAAGTCTCATTCACATCGTGATCAGAAAAGCTATTATGCTATGAACTTATATATACCTCTGTTCCAAACGATGTTGTTGCTGTCGATATCCAACCTGGCGAATCTGGAACGTTCTTCCTCGGTCAAACTATCTGGATCTGTTTTGGTGATCCCCAGTCTTTGGAGACGCCTCAGCTGGATATTGGAGAACTTTCTGGTACCTTTAATTTTCGGCACCAAGCGATCGTAGAGGGCTTGATCTTTCTGAGTGGCTTCGTGAAAAATTCTGGCATCTAATTGTGCAGAGAGGAGGTTGTTGGCTGCAGTGACGGCATGGATGTCGCCTGTCAAATGAAGATTCACGTCTTCCATGGGAATAACTTGAGAGTATCCACCTCCAGCAGCACCCCCTGATATTTCAAACAAAAATTGATCAGTTCAATTGATATCATCAGTTCTGTTATATTTCACCTTTTATTCCAAATGTTGGTCCTTGTGATGGTTGTCTCATAGTACCGAATGTGTTCTTTTTCAAGTGAGTTGATAGCGCTTGTACCAGTCCCAATAATGTGGTACTTTTGCCTTCACCTAATGGTGTCGGTGTCATTCTGCAATTGAAAGTTGAGATAATAACGAACAAATCAAGTATTGTGTTGGGGCAACTTACCCAGTTACAACTACATATTTTCCATTCTTCTGATCATCAAGTCGTTTCAGCACTGACAAGGAAACTTTTGCCTTTTTCGATCCATACTGAGAGATTTCTGATGGAAGGAGACCGATTTCTTCTGCTAACTGGTCTATGTTCTTCGGAGTTTGTGAACGGGCTATTTGGATATCGCTGAAACAAGGAAACATACTTGTAAAACCTACATCACAGCAAACTCTGAGATAAAGGGGGATACTAAACATGTGAAAAACTAACCACACAAGCTAGTAAGTAACAAATATCACAACATGGAACAAATTTATATAAATGGTTAGTGTCAATTCCTAGACCTTCTTGGCCTGGTCAGAACAACTGAAAATCAGTTACCTTGGAACTGGAGATAGCAATTTCAATGGCAGAACAGATAAATTCCACTGCCTGTTAATCAAAGCTTCTGCAGCTTTTTTAGCACTCTGGACGGTATTTTGCATCAACATGGCGACTGTCATTGGCCCCACACCACCTGGTACTGGGGTAATATAGGAGGCTACTTGGCTGGCTTCTTCGTAAGCAACATCTCCGACCAATCGTTGTCCAGATTTTGTTGTAGGATCTGAGGTAATAAGGATCTTCAGTATTCAGTATTTAAGGGATAGGATAATTTGTGATGTATCACTTGCGAAATAACAAAGATGCTATATCTGAACTTTTATTATAATTTTTAAAGTAAGGTAATGATTAATTTGATTGGACATCATTTTTGTTGATCAATTCCTGGCCTAAATAATCTTGCATTGATATATGATGTGATAATTATCGAAAAAAATAATATGTTACTGCTAGGTTGTGACCTCTGATGAAATATATAAAAAATAAATGATTATTCCTTGATAAGATCGAATATACTACGAGCGTATCCATTAGGAATTCATTGATTCTGTCACATTTGTAATTCGTCTAGACATAAAATGACATATTTTTGTACTCAACTATACAGGGCTTTTCACGATGAGCGTTAATTAGACGTTTCTGGCAAACCAGACAACGGATCATTTTGAAAATTCAATAGAGGGCATATTCGGACATTCTCTAGCCAACTAAAATATTTTCGACAATGTGGTGTTGCCGCTTCTATTAGAAAGCAGTAGCAACTTTGATTTTACAAATAGAACACTCTGTATTTTATTGCATTTTTAGATCCTCCCTGAAGAGCTGCTTTCATCGATGTTCACACTTGGGGTCTAGCGGAAATGATTACAGAGATATGGGGTGTGAAAAATCGACATTTTTCAACTTTAGGAATTTTTTTTGTCGAAACTATTCATTATTGGTCAAAACGGCTCACATGTCCCTATCTCAACTTTTGATCAACTATCTACTAACATTTAATTGAAACAAATACAGGGTGGTGCAGAATTCAGATTCTTGATCACCCGGTATATGTCCCAATTAAATATCAGTAGATAGTTAATCGAAAGTTGAGATAGGGACATGTGAGCCGTTTTGACCACTGATGAATAGTTTCGACACAAAAAAATCCTAAAGTTGAAAAATGTCGATTTTTCACACCCTATATCTCTGTAATCATTTCCGCTAGACCCCAAGTGTGATACATCGATGAAATCAGCTCTTCAGGGAGGACCTAAAAATGCAATAAAATACAGAGTGTTCTATTTGAAAAATCAAAGTTGCTACTGCTTTCTAATAGAAGCGGCAACACCACATTGTCGAAAATATTTTAGTTGGCTAGAGAATGTCCGAATATGCCCTCTATTGAATTTTCAAAATGATCCGTTGTCTGGTTTGCCAGAAACGTCTAATTAACGCTCATCGTGAAAAGCCCTGTATTAGATTATTGATGAAAGTGGATGTAAGTTATAAAATGACATCTTACCGTAGAAAAATCGGATTTATAACTGATGAATGCTGTGATCTAACTATTCTAGACATATTATGAGTACGGAAAAATTTCTTTATGCAAGCGTTGCCTAAATTATATCTATATTACTGTGATAGATACAGAGTATAAACAAATAAGATGACCATTTCTTGCACATCAAAAGTTGATACCTATACCTTATCTTTGAACTTACATCATATCATATCATATGAAACCGAATATCTAATGTATTTATTCTAATATAGATTCACTATTGTCTCACAGTGAAAGGTGAAACATAGAGGTCTGTCTCAGTAAGGACGAATGACATAAGTACAATCTAAAGGACAAATCAATACTAGCTGAACATCTTCTTACTGAATTATATTACAGAGTGGAATGATATTGAAATCATAGGAAGATAAGATAACAACCAGAAGAGAAAAATCAAGGTATCCGCGTGCACTCTTCTGAACGGAGACAATATAGCATTGATTCGATATAAATTTTAAGAGCTGAATATGAAAATGGTGAATTCAAGATGAATTGATGAAAACATTCTGTATACTATTTGTTGGATTCTTCTTTTAGGCTAACTAATAGGGCAATTCTTAAAGACAGTGACATTTCGGGGCAGATCATCTGATTTGTCGACAACATCGTTTGGATGTTGCTCCTCCTCATTTAACTAGATATTTTAGGGATTTCCTCTCCTCGTTTCAAAGAATGAGAATATGAGTATTATTTCAATATACAGTGTGTCCCAAATTCCATCCTCACCATTGGAATCTCGGTGAATGTGAGATATAAAGAGTCGGTAATATCACGAAAGTTTCAGCAAATTCGATCGTGATTCTGAATCCGTCGAGAAATATTGATTAGCTTCAGTCATTTCTGAGTTATTCAAGAAAAGCTGAAATGTTGTATTTTCGTTTTGCTGGAATATCTCAATAATTATTGATAGTATATATTATATAGAAAGACGATTTCTAAATTATTATGTCACTTTTCAGTGATCTCTTGAATGGTTTCATCGAAAAAAAGAAGAGAAAAAATTGAGTTGGAGGTCATATTATCTCAGAAATTTGATATTGGACTGACAAAACCATTTGAAAGGTCACTAAAAGGTAGTATCAGAATGTTGAAGTTGTTATATGATACATTCAACAATTTCCGAGATATACGAGGGAAACGAAAATACAAAATTTCAGCTTTTCTTGAATAACTCAAAAATGGATGAAACTAGTCGAGATTTCTCGACGGATTCTGAACCAAGATTGAATTTGCTAATTTAACCGAATCTCTATCACTCATAGTTACCGAAATCACAATGGTGAGAATTGAATTTGGGACAAACTGTATATTGACATAATCCTCATATTTTTATGCTTTGAACCGAGGAGAGGAAACCAGAAAAAATCAAGTGAAATGAGGAGGAGCAATATCCAAACGATGTTGTCGAATTTGGACAATATACCTAAATCTCTTTTTAATATAATCTACATTCTGCTTCTTCTCAAAAGGTAAGATGATCAGGAATATGAATGACATTTTCGAAGACTAATTTAATAATCGATAGTAATTCAGTTCATTTACCAGTTTCAAGGTCGCCCATCTTGTTCGCCATATCGACTTTTTTGTTCTTGTTCCGTATACCTATCTAAACAGTTTTATTATTGTTCGTTTCTTCACGATAACCTACTCACTGATGAACACACACGCGGTAGTTAAACTAGTTTTCCAATATCAAGAAATTTACCACTAAATGAACCAAAGGTATGACATCCATAGGCGTCCCAAAAGGAGAAAGATAGGTACGTTAAACCTCATGGTAAAAAAAACATTTCGACTCACAAGGCTATTACTCGATGAAAATTAATACTAATTGAAATATTCGAACTCATACAATCTATCAAATGATAAAGATATGTACAGTTTGTACAGGGTGAACAGTCAAGAACGGCTGTCATCAATCCTTTTTCCAACTTTGATCGTTGATATCTTCCGTTAGCGAAAAGCTACCATGTTGAGGTTTCCGTTGGTCTGTTCAAATTTACTTACTTTTACGTTTAATCTGTTTTAATCACGATATCTATTCATACTCTAGATCGCCCACTAGCGGCAACGCTGATATGAATATGCAACCGATTCGAATCACAGTTGATAGAACAGAAAGAAGCCTATACAACAAGATTATTGAATTATGTTGAAGATAACCAGAGTAACAGACGTTCAGAGAAAAAACATAATTTGTCGTTCTCCCACCACTTTATATTTCGAGATGTGACAGAAAGTGTAGAACGAAAAGAAACTAGGAATTTATCAAGGATCAAACTGCATATATTTTCAGTACACCTTGTCACTACTAGATACGGAGAAAATTCATATGTTCTCTTCACTATCATTGAAATTCAGTGTTTGGGGATTCATACCCAAATGTAACCCACTTTATTTTATCACCAATGATAAATTTAACAATTTGTATGACCAACAATAAGATTTCTTATTACTTCAAGGCATTTGTTCAATCCATCGCTGGACACCTTATTTCTTGATATTTGGCTGATGATGGAAATACATAATTTTGTCGAAACATGTAGATCTTGATGTAATTTTTGCATTGACTTGTCGTGAAAATTGATTCTAAGTATAATTCAGTAGTTCCTACTTCACTGCTATTCGAAAAGTGATGGACTTTTTTTCTTCACCACTAGCAATATATTATTTCGATCATTATATATGTATAGTTTGGTCAAATCATTTCTGAGATACAGGGCGTTGAAATTAAAGGAGAAAAAAACGGTAATTATAAAATATCATGAATATCCTGGAACCGATTTGGTTGAAATTTGGTACTTTTATTTGTCAAATCCTCTAAAATTTCAGCATATCAAGTGTCAATTATATTTTTGGCGGAAATAATGAAAAACTCATTTCTCCAATGCAGGTGTTCATGATATGCAATACAGTGGCTTCAATTTTTTTTCTCGGAAACGAAGCTGGATATGAAGAAAATACAGGAGACCAAAAAGTTGTATTTTGAGTTGCTCAATCTGAAAAAATGAAAATTCACCAAAAAAGTCAGTGGCGTACTTTTTCTTCACAATATTGTTGGCTGTGGTGCCCACTGAGACGCCACTAGCCCCAATAATTTCAATCTAAATAGGGCTAAATGAGCGCCTTATTAGTTCAAATAAAAGTACCAAATTTCAACCGAATCGGTTCCAGGGTATTCATGATATTTTCTAATTACCATTTTTTTTCTTCAATTTCATCGCCCTGTATCTCAGAAACGAAGCAACTCCAGACATATGTTCATGAGAACTTTTCTTCCTGAAATGACCTACCACCTGCAGTTAGGAACCGTAGTTAGGAAACACCCTTTATATGTCACTATAAGAGCGCTTCTTTCCGATTCTAATTGAAGTCAAGTAGTCATGACAATGACAGCATATTATGATAAGTCGTTATTGATGAATACTCACTAGATTCGAGTGCTATATTCCTGCGAATCTCGCATCAGAACAGTGGATTCGGAATAATTTTATAGCTAGTGCTGGAAAAACCATTTTTTGTCTACACTCCTGGTGAAATATCCCCACTATGGAATACATTATCTAATTCAGATTGTTTTGAATCATTTCGGACACGCGAACATAAGTATGTATACTTACATCTCGAATGCAATTAACCTCATGAATGTTATTATATTGAATCGATGAAGAAAAATACTTTGTTTGAATCTTGAAAATGAGCCGTGAAATTGCATGCTTCAATTTGATTATGTACCAAATTTCTTGTAAATCTTCAGTCGGAGTACACCTTCCAATCGAGAAATCAGTACAGTCTAAAGCACAATCTTAAAGTCCAATTTTCTATAAATTTTATGAGCAGTTGAGGCCGTATATCTGCAATAACGCGGGTAATATTGGCTTCCAAGCGTGGAATCGTGGATTATTAGTATAGACTTCAACAAAAAATAATCGATTGGCGTGATATCACACGATTTTGTGGACCATTGCAGAGGTCCATTTTCCATTTCGCGAAATCATTCGCGCTCTGTAATAATTCGATTGTTCATCCCAATCAATTGAGGAACAAAATCAGTAATCATCGAAATATTGACCAATGACCGTAACCTTCTGTCAAGCAATGTTTTCGAAGAAATATAGGCCAATATTACACGAAAAAAAGGATTTGTTAACTCAAGCAACATTTTATTGAATGAAGCAAATATAGGTGTCATATATGCACGACAAAATATAATCTTGAAATGAGGAAAAGTATATCTTGTTTCAGAGCGAATTTGCACATCCATGGATTGTTTATCAAAATTTCAACTTGATGTAGAATGAACAAAATATTTCATTGATTTTATACATAATTATTTCGTTGCTCTATTCAAGCAAATAATCCGTTCGAAACGAGTCCATTGTTACATCAGAATGAAAAAACTTGGATATTGTTTCAAAGATATAGGTATGCTTACCGAAATTATCTTTTGTTCATCGAATCAAGATGATATGTTTATAGATGATTCAACATCGACATTATTTTGGTTCAACATAATCTGTTTTTGAGATAACCATATATTTCGTTGATGGAATTCATATTATACTGTTGATTCAATTAAACTATATTTTTGATTTGAACAAGCTGCTTCCATGCAATAATCATGTTGCTGATTGATTCAACAAAAAACTGTCCAACAATAATAATTCAAGCATAAATAATTTGTTGATGCAACAAATCCTCCTTATGAGCCTCTTGGCTGATCAAAATCTTGTGTAGAAAATGAGGAACTGAGCCCCGATTTTCTAAGTCAATCTGCAGAATTTGTGAGCGTTGTTCCGAAGTGAGTCTATTCATGGTCATGTAATAGTAATAGTAATTCGAAGAATAAACCTCTAAAGAAAACACCCTTCACATATTCCAATTGCACCTCTATCACATGACCCCTTAGTACCTCGGTTTGATTTTAAATCAGTTTTAACCTCGTAAATCTCATTTACCAGGTTGTTGTAATATGAACTCAGTAGCAGTATACAAAGAGATCAAATAAAAAAATCCTGATCAAAGTCAAACACTTTTTTGTGGTATATAAATGATCAACTCCTCTGGAGTTATTCGCGGATCCATCTTTTTTTCAACGAATCCTCGATTATCTTGGTATCCAATTTCAATCTACTTCTCTTTCGTGAAAGAAATGCTATTTCTCAATCTCCAGATTTGCTTTTAACTAATGTTTATTCCATCTATTTACTCTGGGGTTACTTTGTGTCTCGGAAATGTATGGCCCATTTGCTTTGAAACTGACTCAGATGGGCATGAAACATCAGAAAGTCTTCGTTAATTCCAGATCTATTGCTGACTCCAGAAATGGACATATAATTGTAGAGTAGAGTCGAGCACTGACCTTTAACCGAATATGACTGCCGAATGAGTGACTAAATGAGTATAAACCTCAGATATGTCAATTTTTATTGTGCTGATATTTTCAAGAAAACAGTCTTTCATGCTGCTGTCATGGTAAGTGATGGTTTCCAGTACCAAGAGAACTCTTTGAAGTTGACATTTAAAATAATGCATATTGCACTTGCAACTTAGAAATTTTTAATGAAGAATTGACAAAAATATACATGAAGATTAATTGAAATAAGACGAATAGCATGATAATATCCAAATCAAACAAAGAGCATACCGTACACTTAAACGGAATCCAAATAGAACAAGTGAAAAACTTCAAATACCTGGGATCAGTAATAGACAATAATGAAAAAATGAACGGAGAAATGAACTGAAGAAATTTTTAACATGATGAATAAAATGAGATTCCTGAGAAAAATTGGAAACGAAATAAGAAGATACATAATTAGAAATCAAACATTCAGACAAAATCTACAGATTGAACCTATTAACGATAGAATGTCGAATGCCAGACAAAAGACTAACGAAAAGAGTAAGCGAAGCATGAGTGCAAGGAAAACACAGTAAAGAAAAACCTAGAAGGAGATGGAATGATGGAATCAGATAGAAAGCTGGAAAAAAAGGCATAGTATGGGAAGGAATTAAGGAACTGACACAACATATAGGAAAACATGGAGAGATATATGGAGGAGAAAGCCACAACTCGATACGCCTGCCACCTAACGGTATAAAGGCATAGGATTAAGTAAGTAAGTAAGCATATTGCACTAGGCAATATTTTTACTTCCTCTGTTAGAAACTTGAAATTTTAGGAATTATTGAGTTAATGCAATTTTATGATCTTTCCAGAGCTTTGTCTATTCTCTTTTCTGTCTTTTCAGCTGATAGTGCGAATAAGAGATTTAATGCTTCAAGATTAATGATTTCAGGTGGTACGTGTAGGTGACTATTTGTTATATAGAAATAAATGAGTGATAATTTCAGGATAGTTTGGTGCATTTAGGTTTAGTTATGGGTTGCGTGCAAGAACTGTCAGATGACCAACCCTGGATGTAAAACATTGAAACACGACCTCACTTTCCTTCTGTTTTGAAATAGTTTTTCACAATTATTTTGGCATACGAATCGTGTTTTCCAGCTATTCATCAATTCGCGCATGCCTTCACATTGTGCTGTACAATGCACTGAAAATGCAGCGGGAGATGAAGGAATCCGGTTTGTACATTATGATTTGTAAGTATGTACCTACTATAAACAATCACATGAAGTTTTCATTTTTGAAATTTTGTAATTTCTCTGATTTCTCATCAGAATTTCTCCTGCAATATGAGCAAATAGAAATACTCGTGATTTCTAAAAGAATGCAAGGAGATTGGATTCATGCAATCAAACGGGAGGACTGGTCTGACATGCTGACAAAATATGATCGTGTGTGTTGTTGACATTCTCAATTTATTGGCATCAGTATTAGCTCCTATTGCAGAAGTGGCAGAAGGAACCTTAAAAGAAATGAAAAAGTTTCATAATGAAAACTATGTGAGATTACTATTTACTTTGAAAATTATATTCTTTCGTCTCTCGCTGCATTTTTTGTGCATTGTACAACAGCCAAATGAGAAGGCATGCTTGAATCAATGAATAGCCGAAAAAAGACGATTTCTATGACAAAATATTGTGAAAAACTATTTCATTCCTTTGAATCCTCTGTGAACAAATAAAAAGAGTGAGGTTGTGTTTCAATGTTTAACAGATGAGTGAGGTTGTGTTCCGATATTTCACCTCCAGGGTCGGTCATCGTACACGCGACCTATGCCAAGAACCAAATTGAGTTATGGCAAAACAAAACACAAAATTCGAAGGTCAACTATCATACTAGCACCAATAGAGGTTTCCTGGAAATATTCCTCTAGATAAAATTCTCAAAAAAACTCTATTCCTGATACTTACCTTTGATGGCGTTTATTCCACAATCTATGACAACAGCACCTGGCTTTATCCAATTTGCCTTCACTAACTCTGGCTGACCTATAGCTACAACCAGAATATCTGCTTTTCGGCACTGAAAGAAAAAATGGTAGTGAATTTATTGAATTTTCAGATTGCTATAGCCTGATTATTTGTGAATGTTAGAACTTACATTTCTTCAATAATTAGAATATGAGATATAGCATTTGTTCATTGACATCCTCAGATGTAAATGATCTAGAACTACATAAGGTTCGCAGAAACTTGATAACAATAATCAAGGAATAATCAATATATCTTAAGTAATCTCATCGAGACGGGTGCATTGTAATAAAATTAAGGAATCTGGGTGCCTAGAGATAGTACGAAAGTTCCTAGCACATGACAGTGAAGGTTTTTCTTTATGCAATGATTATATTTTATATCGTTGAAATTGTAATATCAGAATAACAGATCAAGTCTTTATTAGTACCATTTGAGTTAGAATGTGATGAAATTTCAAAAATCATTATACGTACTTGACCTGGCAGATCTTTGGTTTTTGAATGACAGGTTGTCACTGTCGCGTGGTTCCATTTCAAGAGCTCAGCAGTGGGTGTTCCCACAATCTTACTTCTGCCCAGTACAACTGCTTCTGCCCCCACGAAGTTGACGTTTGCTCTTCTTGCTAGTTCAATGACCCCGTAGGCAGTGCAAGGAAGGAATCCATTAAGATCACCAATGGCCAGTCTGCCTTCGTTGACAGTATTCAACCTAAGATCAAAAATAGTTATTTGTTTTACTAGGCAGAAAAGTACAAGATTTAATGCCGCAGCTGGCGTTTCATAGCCTAGGCGTAGCCGAGGCTAGGAAACCAGCCAAGGCCTCACATCTTCATTCCTGCCATGTGAAACATATAATTTTTTCTCCAAATTCTTTTCAATTTCACGCAAAGTCCAAATAATTCATTCTTTGTCATTGTCAATTTTGATTACCAATTTGTGCCTAGGCTGAAAAGGTATACTTTTACTGTTTTTTTAGAGGTTAAACACACTCCTGCACTCCTGCAGACTCTCTTTTCTGCGAAAATCCTGCAGATCAATCGTCATCAATTTGATTTATATCGTGATACGTCTACTAGTCGAATGAATAAAACTTATGCTAATGGTTGGAGACAACTTCGAGAGAAAAATTTGGAGATAGTACGTTCTGTTCAACTGAAATCAACAAGGAATGATAATTACCCATCCACATCCTTTTCGGGTGTTACGGAATCAGTGACTAAACGGGAGTTTATTGGTTTTTCCGAATCCAGAGGCATCTGCACTATTATTCCATGAGTTTTAGGATCATTGTTCAGTGACTCCAAGGTGTTCAATAGCTGGAAACGAAAACAAATCGTGAAAGTTTGTTATGTGTCTGTCATTTGTGGTTGAAGTCATGAAAGATTTGCATAGATCATTATCGATCGATTATTATTATCATGACTATTCGGTCACGACATTGGAAATTCAAGGGAGTATGAGATATATCATGAGTGAGAATAAGGATTACGCCATAGATGTATAGGAAGTCACATGGTGTTATCACTGCCTATTGAAAGAAGTTTCGAAATCTCTGGATATCGCCTACTTTGTAAAAAATAGCGAGGCGTGTGAGAATCTTGCTAAATTCACGAAGTTTCAAATCAAATTTGCAGGCATCATGACACATTCATTTGAGTTCACATTTTCATTTTCACCATTTTTATGTAATTGGAAACGGTGCGGTATATTTTCGACTTTCAATAATGGTGAATTCATGAACGACACGAGGTCCTAACTCAAGAAAATCCTGTGATAATAGTTTATTCACTCTCTTTTGGACATCAAATAAATCGAATTTTCAAATAATCCTCACACATTGCAGCAGTCAATCCATGACGAAAGTACAATAGACTCACTCAACTAATATTATTATCAATACCTGCTTAATGAACTACTAATGCTCTCATTTTATAATACTTCTATTCGAAATTGAAACAAAATTTTGAATATGCTGAAAACATGACACTCATGACAGGTATGTCAAGATCAAGATGTTCCCACAAGAATTACTTGTTGCGCCTTGTCTCTTCTGCGTCCTGTCTCTAGATGCTTCTTTATCAGCCATTATTGAACTCGCGCATCATCAACGGGACCGAGAGAAGGAAAATACATGATTGAAAGTTTATTTCAACTTCATAATAAGATTCGATACTAATTTTGACATTTTTCAAGAAATTGTCCATCGTCCACGACATCTATCATCGAATATGAGAACTTCACGTTCCGAACTCTCATTCAATCGTTCATATCGAGAGCTAGTCTGACGAAACAATTGAAGAGTGGGCACACCAGAGGAATTACGCCTATCAAGGGGTGAGCTAAGATTCTGGCCCATTCATTCTAAGGATGTTGTATTGAATTTGATGATTAGCGTTTACCTCAACTTCCGTTGTTGTACGCGGAAGTTTCACATGATCTGCCTCGATCCCTATTTCTTTAGCAGCTTGGAGTTTCATGCGAATGTAAACATTGGAATCTTCCCGTCCTCCAACCTGCACAATGACCAATCTAGGTTGGAAATTCGGGACGCTTTTTCTCAATGCATTTACATCATTGCGGAGCTGTTCTCTTATTTGTCTGGAAGAAGAAACATTATTACATTCGGAGAGGTGAGTAGCAAAAAATTACAACAGTTTTTTCAGGGCTGATAATTCGATATTAAGTAGTGTTTATATAGGGTTTATAGCAATAGCCTGCCGTCAGTCAGCCTGTTTCGTTAGCGATTAACGCAGGGGGGCGCTTCAAATTGTTTAAAAACCATATAAGTATGTCGCAACAGTGTTCCAAAATTTGAAAATTGATTTCTGAATACTGAAACAACTAAAAAATGATGTGGATACCGTTGGTCCTCAAAATATCGTTACCTTGAATATAAAATCTGGTTTGCAAGTTATTGATAATAAAAAAAATAGTCAGCCCGAATAGAAGCAGTAGAAAGAGGTGAAAATATAGACGTCCATACACAGAAAAAAAAGTCTTCTTGAGGGTATTATCAGAATATAGGCGGCTGCGAATATGATAGAGCTTATTAATATTGCTGACAGTAAGCTGCAAGATGCCAAAGATTGGTTTCTGATGAATAGAATGGTGCTTAATGAATCAAAAACAAGTGTTATGATTTTCAAAACCACTTATGCCCGATCTGAATTGCCACATGAACTGAATAAGGATAGAAGTGCATTTGTAAAAAAACTAAGTTCAGCATGTTATAGTATGAGGGTCCTGAAAAGTTATTTAGATTTGAATGTTCTGAGAATGGTGTACTTTGCAAATTTCGAATCAATTTATAGATATGGGATAATATTTTATGGGGGTAGTAGTTGTACTGAAAGGGTCTTTATATTACAAAAGAGAATGCTTCGAACAATGCTCAATATAAAAAATACGGTTTCATGCAGAGGAAGATTTAGAGAGAATAAAATTCTTACTGTAATAGGAGTTTTTATTCAGGAATGTCTGATTTTTCTTGTGAAAAATAAAAACTTGTTCAATGATTATGTAGAAAATGATAACTATAGTTTGAGGAATGAAAATCTAGTGTATCCACGACATGAATCGTGAATAAAATCATATAGTGAACACGAAAAGGTTGGAAATAATTCGTTAAGAGCTTGATATGGCCAGCGGAGAACAAAAACTTAGACAGGTCGATATTCTTTTTCTGTTGAGCATTTTGATGGCTACTTATATTTTTGATGACGTCGTCACCATTTGAGTTATGACGCCATCATCATCCTCTTGATAGCAATACCCTATTCTGATAATACTTAAAAAAAGAACGCATTTTTTTGTGTATGAAAGTCATAATCGTATTTTCGGGAAGAGAAAGATCAATTTCATCCATAATAATGTATTTTATGGTGATGACGTCATCAAAAATGTGAGTAGACCAACAAATGTGAATCTGAAAAAGACAATCGACTTGTCTGAGCTTCTTCTTCCCACTGGTCATATCAACCTTTGGATGAATTTGTTCCAACGTGGTAGCCTTGATATATAAAATAATCTGGACCACCCTATTTTGTTAGAAGGCTTTGAAACAATACATTTACTCGATCTGCATTTACTTTCCTAGAGTTTTATTTTGAATCACTATTTGGATGGACTTTTATCTCGAAAGTGCAGAAATTCATTATTGAAGACTTACCTGGCAATTTGAGTCCCAGAAAGAATTTTTCCCATTTCAACAGATGATGGCATCGTGAAAGAAGATACTGAAATACTATGTTCATTTGAATATCGTTTGATTGTTAATCAAGGGTGAGGCTATCATATTGAACTCTTGATGAAGTTGCATCACAGAGCAATTCATCTTGAAATGTTTATTTATATCTTATACAGGGAGACTCACGGTCGATATGGTATAGGTTAGACGTTTATGGAGAAGGCAACTGAGGGTTTTTCTGGAAATGTTGCATCTTACATTTTATCACCAGTTCTATCGATATAAAGTTTTTTCGAAATTGCTGCGTTGCCGCTTCTAACAGGAAGTCCTTGCAACTTAATTTTTTCAAATGGGACATTCCATGATATATCAACATATTTTTTGAATCGCATTTTCATCAATATACCTACTGTTCTGTTAATAATTTTCCATACCGATCTCTATCGGTTTTGGAGATATTGAATAATTTTTGTTGAATGCTCTCAATTCATGAAGAGTAGATAGTTCATAGGTGATTGAAAATTTTGTGGAAATCTTATCGTTTGTGAAATTTTTACATGTGAGTCACCCTGTATATGTATATATGTTATCACGGAGACTTGCTGTTTTTAAATAAAGAACATTTGCTCTTTTCGAAGAAATAAAGAAGTAAATATTTTGAGTTGAAGGGTGATGTCAAATTAATGGAGTATTTCCAAATCAACGGAAAGTTTTTTCCATTATCAATACAATCATTCCAACCGATCAAATATGTGTATTTTGGAAATGGAATAATACGAGTTGTGTTTGGTTTATTGTGATTGGTCGGGTTATGTGATGATTCAAAATGATTAAAATAGTTACCAGTAGATACAACCCGCATACGCAAGAAATACACAGTACATGTAGATATCATACATGGTGACACAGGGTATCGGACACTTCTGCATTCGTAAAGGGATTTTTCTGAAATTTTGAAATAGTTGTATATAAGCACCCATTCCGGATTCGATCACATCATAATCCAATATGACAGACTTCTGGTTCTTCTTGAAATGTCAATAGCTTTGTTTTTTCAAATGGAACACCCAGTATATTTTTACCTATTCAAGTTCAGCTGCTCAAAACAAGTGCGTGGAATCTGTGTCAAATGTATTATTTTCTAGAAAATTGAAATTAATTTTCTTTCTTCATTTTACCTCGTGGATAGACGAGATGAGGTCAAAGCTATTCACTATGATTAGGTGACAAGATTCAGAAATATTTAGTTGAAAACTTCAAGGAAATTCATGAACTAGTTGTTGATTTTTGAATGTATACAATTTGTTACTGCACCGAAATACAAAATTGATGTCAGTTTTTTCCTCAATGTATGTTCTAGAGAGAAATTTAGGTGGCCCAATGGGGTACAATTGGAAAAAATGGATTTTTGATCAACTTTATTAGTTGATATCTTCCGTTGGCAAAAAGTTATCATGTTGCGGTTTTCGTTGGTCTGTTGAGATTTAGTTTCTCTATTACATCGTGTTATGATATGCATACCATTAGATTTATTCTATCTCAAACTTGTATCATTATTCGTTGCTGAGATATGGCCGACAGCCGGTACAGGTTGTTCCATTGAAAAAAAAACAAAGTTGCTGGCATTTTCGATACCCTCTGTCAACTGGTATACAGGGTGTCCCCAAAAGGTCGGTACATACTTATTCCTGAGGTCAAAATAAACCAATTCAAAGCAATAAATTACCTCAGTCTGATATCGCAATATAAATCAAATTTTTCAGAATTCATGAACATTTTTGAACGTATCACTTTGAAAATTGGAATGTTTTGGTATGTGAAACCTGTAGAAGGGTGCTACCAATAAAATTTTAATGGTTCAGAATGACCATATCTTTTTGCTCAGTGTAGTTTTTCACGTTGTCTCATGAGGAAATAATGTTTTCATTTATTTTCAAGCAAAAAACGTACTCTAGTGAAAATCCGCTGAAGTAAGCCGATTTCGAGATATTTCGTTTTTAGTGTTCGATGCCGCACCGAAATATTCAATCTATTTTGAATAAAAAATGTGTGTTGTTATCGTTGTTAATGTTATTTGGTTAATGAATGAGCCGTGCAAAAATCGATTTTTCAAAATAATTTCTTGGGGTGAACTTGTCGGTTTTTATTACTCGAATTTACCACTCTGAATCTCGAAAATTGAGCATTTTCGGACAGAGGTATGTTGCTTCAAATTGGCTCATTTTGACCTCATCAGAAATATGTGACATACATTTTAGGAACACCCTGTATATTCCATTCCTGTCTAGGTATTCTACTATTTCACAGATGTCTCTGTATTTTTCAAATACCCCACATACAGGGTGTTTTCGAAATTGGCGGGGGCAATCAAATGAGGAAACAAAACGAGATGAAAGAATACATTTTTGTCAAAATAAAACATATTTTCAAAGATTTTGAGCTTCAAAGTTCGCCTGAACCTCTTGAGAATCATCGATTTGAGGTTTTGATAGCCCAAACCAAGCGTTTGCTTCCGGCGAGATCTCAACCACCGCAAGTAATAATGACTTTCGCTAATTTTTCTGTGATTTATCGTATCATTTCCTGTCATAAAATACATAATTTTATTTATTGCCCTAATTTCAAAAACATCCTGTGTGCCTTCAAGAATCAATTTTCGGAATAGTTGATTCTCAGAAACTATCATATCATCACTTTCACGAACGGCCGTGGGTACGCTACTGGTATTCAGAATAATAATTATTTTTGTTCTCCTAAAAACATATCGAGCGTTTTATCAATGTTTATGAAATGGGACTATATATAGTAGATCAACAATCACCGTCATCAACAGTTATCATAAGAAATAGATGCGGTAAAGAGAAAAACTCCAATTCCAAATCCAAGTTTTGATAATTTCATAAACATAATAATTTTCTTCTCTCACCTATCGTATTTGATGATACCAGCGGAAGAATATTGGAGCTAACTGGAAATCACATGTTACCACTTCTTTTCACCATTACTACAATACACTCAACAATAAAGGAATAATAATAATTATTCACATCTCAAAACCCGTATACCTACTGACTTCAAAGCACTCATTCATATTTTGAATTACAAGGTGGCTCATGCTCATTCTCACCGTGGTTCACAACAAGATCATTGGCCATTGCGTCATTCAGATGTTTTTTAAGTCAGAATTCTGAAATTTAGATCGATGATATACAGTTCTCAACACACTAAATATGGACCACTCATAATTTGACTCTTTTTCGAAGACCTGTATTTTTTGAAAAAATTGACCGATCTTCATGCGGTTTTCGATATCAGAAATGATATTTCATCGGCTTCAAAGAGATCTAGAACACTCTGAAAAAGTCTGCAGATCAAAATTTACACAGGGTGTAAAGTGGAACCATCACATTATGGTCTACATTTCCAATGCTGCCAGAACTCGAGAAATTTTGTTCTGATCAAGAGTCAGTCATATTATAATACAATGATGGGACCTTATCTCAGGACATTTTCGTGATTTCTCCTTGATTGGCCATTGGAACGAAAATTGGATTTTTTATAGTAAGTCTTGCGTTTCTTGAATTTTTTCTCCAGAACTACACTTGAGCTGATTATTGGGAAGAACTGTTCTCATGTTTTGTGGAGGACAATGAAAGACGAAAAAAGCATTATTGTGGAATATACAGGATGATATGAATAGGACATGTATTTCATATAATTGCCAGTTTAGATTGTAAAAAAAAATGGCAAATTCATAAGTATACAAAGGCTTAATTTGGTGAGAGTCATAGACTCTGAATTCAGCAAGATGAATTTCATTGATACTTCGCAGCGGCAATCTATATAGTATTGCCGCTTCAGAATTTCAATTTGTACTAGAAGTCATTCCAAAATTGTACTAAATTGAAAAATTAATACTTCAAAATTCAGGATTTACACATTTGATGGGAAACTTCATAATATATTATTCATTTATGAAAATTTCAAATAATAATATACAGCACATTGAAACACCTCTGAAAAACGTAGGTCATAAAACAATTATAAGTATAATAAAAGCAGAGAATAAGAGATGAAGAGAAACAAATCAGATTACAGATTGAGATAAAAAACTATCATTCTATCAATGATATAAAATAGATGACTCAAACTTCGAAGTGAACTATCAAAACCGCAGCTAATTGTTTCTCCGTTGAATTGGAAATTATATGGACTTTTTATCAATGAGGGCTTCATTAAGATTCCAATTATATCATATCTTCTCCAAATAATTGTTTTGTATGTAATACTAGCTTGGCCTATCCCATGGGGCCATCCGGCTCTTGTTTTTGTACTAGACTAGTGTTAATTGCATCGACGTACTGAATGTGTATGAAATGTACTAGATAAGTACAATATTACTAAAAACGGCAACTCTGCACTGGGCGCTCTGAATTCACAAACGGCTTCTGCTTGCTTCACCAAACATTCGTTCAATTAATGTAAGCAGTTTTTGATTCACAGTGGGGTTGAATTGAAATGCCAACACTTCATAGAACTTTCCAATGATAACACTGTTGTATTATTACTATCCCTCCCCCGTGAAACGTTATTATGAAAAGTAAACACTTGTGGCCTTCGATAATGAATTTGAGACTCCACAACAGCCTCCTGCTAACACTCAGGAGTCATAGACAAATATTGACGAGAAATAGCAAGATCGTCGTCTCACCTACTGAGCTCTAAAGAAAATATCCTAGGATAATGAACGAGGGTGCTGGAATGTTATTATATCTAGATGGGGAGGAGAAAATGGAGTGGCATTGTTGCATACACTCCGAATCCTTCATGGATTCTCACCAGAACCAGATAAAATAAAATTATGTCATTGAATTAGAATACTCAGAGTGGAATGCAATGGTCACAAAGAAGGAAAACTCAAAGTCATTACCATAATAGTTCATGAACAAAAATGGTAGATAACGAGGAAAAAACAAATACTTTCCTGGCTATATGCCACGCAGAATATTGAATTACATCCCCCGAAATCTATGCAATAATTCGTAGACGAAGGAAACACTCACGATTCCATTCGTCTAAAAGCTATCAACATCGAGCTCATGAAATACTTGTAACATTCAGGCATTATCAACATTAGGCAATATGGCTTTCGTCATCAGAGATCAACTGGTGACCTGCTCGCTCACGTTTCACATAAATGGCAGCATTCTATTGAAAAATATGGTGAAACCTTAGCCGTGGCACTTGATATCTCCAAAGCATTCGATCAAGTCTGGCACCACGGACTCCTTGCCAAGCTTCCATCTTATGGCTTGCCTCCTCAGCAATGTTCTCTGTGAGCTAGTTTTCTCTCGAACAGGTCTCTCGATGTAGTGGTCGACGGAGTTTCATCTGACTCTCTTACCATAAATGCTTGTGTTCCGCAAGGATCAATTCTAGCACCAACACTATTTCTACTCCATATCAACGATTTGTTGAAAGCAACTTCATGTCCAGTACACAGCTTCGCGGAAGATAGTACCCTCCATACCGCCTTCTCTTCCAGGGCTCCAATGCCAGCCAGGCAAATCAGAAACGAATGAGGGAGAAATGTTGACAACATAAATATGGACAAGCAACAATTCTCGAATGGAGATCCAATAACTTGGTAGATGTCAATGCAAACAAAACACAAGCATGCCTTTTCTCTAGAAAAGCCGATCTCACTGTTCCAAACAAAAGCATGTCAGAAGTAACCATACCTTGGAAGACATCCATTTCGATGCTTGGTATTACTATCAGCAATAACCTTTCTTGGGAAAATCACGTGAGATCAATTGCTCAAAGTCCATCTCAAAAAACTTGGTTTTTTGATTCGGGCCAGGAGCTATTTCACTTCCAGTCAGCTGCTTATGATCTATAAGGCACAGATCCGACCTGTCCTGGAATACTGTTCCCATATTTGGAGTGCAGCGCCCAAACATACCCTGAAACTGTTGGATTCTGTCCAAAAAAGGGCAATTCGTCTCGTTGGGTGATGCCTCGCTCACAAACTCACTCACTTCTCTGGAACACCGTAGAAAAGTTGGCGATCTGGCTCTATTTCATAGATATTTTCATGGACAATGCTCTTCTGTCGTCGAGTTGAGGCTTCGCACCCCTTCGTGGTCACTTTGGAGACCTGCAGAACATCTTTTTCCAAAGACTTGTTCATCCAACGAGCAGCAAGGCTCTGGAACACATTGCCAAGGGAGGTGTTCCCCGAGGCATATAACCTCCAGAAATTTGAGAAGAACACCAATTTCTACCATATTTCCCTTGGTTCTCCCGATGTTCTCTGAACATTACAGGATATCCCTTCTCGCGGGAACCAGAACATGAAAAAAATAATGTCTATTAGTAAAAATGGAGTCACAATAACAATAATGTCTTTGCCCTCATGAGCCAATCTAATTAACAACTTTCAGCGACGCTGACGAAAGTTTCCCCTCCCACTCTGTCTCAGAACTTCTCTGGAATTTTCGTTAATTAAACCATTTGCAAAGTAATCCAGGGGCCTATTTGGTAATTTTCTCGTGAAATCCTGAAATATACCGTGATTAATATTTTTGCTTCGATTAATTCTCCCTGATTATGCAAATAACTTTGTAGCGCTCTAAATGCCAGAGCTGAATGAGCAGTACTTACAGAGCAGGAAAGATCATTATGAAAATAACGATGTCTGGATAATTGAAGAGCTCATAGATATATTCGATGATGAAATGATTTATTAGGATCTTCATAAATAGTAGAAATTTGTTAAACGCAGTGACATCTGATTTGTCTCACTACAAATATATCGAAATAATACGCATATTTTCATTTTATAGAAACGAGGAGAGAAAATCCCAAAAAATCAAGTAAAAAGAAAATATTAAATTTCTCATTTTCAAATGTTTAAACTTCACAAACGATTTCCACTTGTGGAAATCTTATGGTTTGCGAAGTTTCTACATTTGCCATGGACCATAAACTCATGATTGCTAAGCTTAAATACTATGGATTCTCGATTGACTCTTTGGAATTAATACAATTTTACTTTGCAGAGAGAAAAATAAAAATAGTATCGAATGACAGTCACTCGTATTATGTAAACATGACAGCAGGAGTGCCACAAGGCAGCATTTTGGGTCCCCTTTTCTTCATTATTCATACGGCGGATATACTGAAATCTATAGAACATTGTAAAATTCAGGCGTATGCCGATGACACCCAAATCTTCATAAACTTTCCTAAAGATAATATTTTTGAGGCCCAAAATTGGTTAAATTATGACCTTAACATAATATTCGAGAAAAGTCGGGCTCATAATCTGAAATTGAACTCTTCTAAATCAAAACTTATTGTTTTTTCTCCCAAAAATTATTATGATGAGATCTGCTCGAATTTTAACATAAGTATTGATAATAAATCGTTAAGTATTGTCCACTCGTCGAAAAACATTCATTTCCCTAAAAACTCTTTACAGCAATAGGTACGTGTTGAATTTAAAACTGCGCAAAATTTTATGTGACAGCTTGGTCTTGTCCCAATTCGCTTATTGTGATTTTTTGTATGGTCCATGCCTTGATGGAAGTATAAAATTCAAAAGGTACAGAATTATTGTGTGTGATTTATATATGGGTTACGTAAATATGATCACATATCTCAAAAACTAAATGAACTTAACTGGCTCACTATGAAAAATCGTTGGAGACTTCACTTAGCTTTATTCATTTATAAACGTCTTAGGAATCAATCAGATGATAGTCACTACCAGTTAATTCCGAGATCCAGCATACACTCAGTTAATATAAGACATCCCAATGCATTAACGATGCCTCATCATTCGACCGCCATTTATCAAAGAAGTTTCACATATAATGCAATTAAATTGTTCAATTCAATCCCAGACCGCATTAAGCCTTGGTCCATTCTCCTTCCGAAAGTTCATTATACATGAGCTACTTTCTTCACAATGAGTATTGTTACGCTCTTCAGTATGAATATTATGTACACATCCTCTTTTTTTTCTCTCTAAGTAATGTAG